CGATCAGTTAGACCAGAAGGCTCTTGAGACACTTGGCTGTTGAGATCCATTTACACACATCATTGGTAAAGTTGGGGCCTGATACAAATTTGATGCATCCACAAAATGTCCGGATGCTGGAGGACTCATGAACAGTTACTTCCAAACGTCCCTGTTTTAGTTCACTTTCTGCACACGGGCAAATTAAACCTGGAAAAGTAACTATGGCGATAGCAGAGATGCTCGGAGGTAGTAGCATTTGTCGTGCACATGTCGTTCAAGTGACAAAGACAACGTTTACTTATTTAAAAAAAATGCTGACAAACCAATGTATTCAGAGAGCTCTTTTTTGTTTAGATTTTTCCCAAGTCAGCCATGTGCAAAACCTACACAGATTTGGACATTTGTATGCCGTGTGGTAATTTCCATAATGGTTTTCGGGGTTTTGTAGATTTTGTGTCGTCATTGGGATGGGGGGACATATCATTTCTATTGTCACGGCAAAAAGTAGCCTATCGGTTTGCTTAACTAGAAATTTAACAGCAATATAACATTTCATATATCTAAAAACGTATTTCTGCGGTATAATACGCACCATCTTCAACGGTGAGGTCCTCACACCCCTCACCCCAACAAGGGGTCAGGGTGCACCGATTCCTGTATAGAACACAGCCATACACGACATTAACATGGTCCGATATATTATTCAGCGAATCTTACACTGAAACTGTACAATGGACTTCGTGACATATAAGTGAAGTATAGATGTCATTGATATATTCTTAACATTACATAACTACACAAACGCATAAACCACATGAAATACTTAGGAGATGCATGCATACATACACATGCATACCACAGATGTACCTCAACATTATAGATGAAAATGTGTAGATGCACACAAGAAACAAAACCTGATTAAAATATTATTGGTTCTGTCGGTAAAGTCACGTAGAAGGGAAATAAATAATACAAATACGTGACTTTACCGAAAGAACCAAGAATATGAATCCCTACAGTCACGTAAGCTTTAAATGGAAATCTGATTAAAATACTTAACATCTTTCTTCAATAAAAAAACTACAACGTAACATATAACGCGCACTATCCAATGCAAAACGCTATTTAAAATGATACTGACAAAAGCAGGATCGTTTTAAACAAAAAAAAACAGATTGTATTCAGACCCACGAAGGCTTACCTGGATAAATGACAATACAGTACAGTTCTGTAATGCGATAATTCCATAACATTGCAAGCAATGACCCTTCTTCGAAGCGTGCAGATTGCCGCCTCAACTCCAGAGCTCGCACGCTATTGTTTACGGCCCAATGATAAAGAATAGCGCCGTGCGACGTCAACGACGCCTCGGCATTTTCAACTTCGTTCTTTTCACGTCGTCTGCCAGCGATTAACTCTGGCGCAACGAGCACGAAGCGAAAAGCATCGCTTGCCGTTTTGATTCACGCGCAAGGTTCAAGTTGCCTCCCGCGCAAGTTCGAGCGTGAGTCGGGTGTTCCATCTCCTGTAACGCAAAAGCTCCCTAAGCAACCACGGCACTTCCACGTTACCACGACGAGAGCGGGTACATCTACGATACACGTAATTTAATACATCACGCTGAGTGTTTACGAACTACACGACGGCGCGTGCATATCATTCGCGTTTACCAACACACACTCACGCACGCACGTATATTATCGATTACATTTGATTTATTTAACAAACAAACAAAAATGTTGGGTCATCGGTATCGCACAATCAAGAGCCCGCGGCGCCCCTCTCGAGCGAGAGGCCACGGGCTCAAGCTGACCACCACCGCCTGCACCACAGCGGCCATCGTCCAACACCCGTCTCGCCAGCAACCATCGTGCAAGGCTGATATAATCGCGACGGAGAGGATGATGATGATGACGAGGAGGAAGAAGATGATGATGAGGAGAAGGCCGCTAACCTCTCGCTGGCGCCAACGTCGTCGCCGCCGCCGCCGCCATAGCTCCTCCTCTCCCGCCACCGAGGGGGCGGTGTCAACGTGGGTCCGGGCGGCACTTTGCTCCGGGGGTGAAACCAACAGCTCGTGCCGCACGCACGCGCACGCACGCACGCGCGGGAGTGAGCGAGAGAGATGAAAAAAAAAGGTTCCGGCCCGCGTGGGGATTTTTGTTGTTGTAATTTTTGTTCCCGTTGTGGTCAACCCCATGCGGTTTACCCCCCCTCCTCTCCCCGTACGCTTGCGCAGGGAAATTGAGTTTGTCTATTTGTTTGTGTTTCTCCCTGGTGTTGGGGCTTTGTAGGATGAACGTTGAGATTTATAAGGATCACGGGGTAACCAATAAGGTCTGAATTGGTCTGTAATAATGTAGGCACTGATAAGGTGTTGACAGGTATATTCTTAACAAGTTGCAATAATTCTCCAAACTCTTGTGATGCAATCCACTGTATCTCTCCGGCATCTCTACAGTATTTATGGGCGATGATTGAGGGACATTGCCGATTCTATATATATGCTTGTTTTGTCTTTTATGGTAGTTATGTTATCGACGAATGAGTCGAGTTTTCGTTTATTGTGGGTGTGAACCGCTGCCAACCGCAGCAGCTGCATCACAAAACATTCTGCTGTCATTGTGTTTTATTTCCGTTGCATGATTTGTATAATCATCAATCATGATTGATCCACTGTTGGATGCAGACCCTGTTGTAATTTAAATATTAAGGGGTAATTTGTTGGTAAACCAACATCAGTGTTGTGTTTTGTTTGAAACCCGATTTAGGAGCTTTTTGGCTCAGGGTAATTCAAAATAAACCGAACTGAACTGATATTGTAATTATTGTATGCTAAATGAATTGGTTTTTAAGAGGACTATTTTAAATTTTGATTTAAAACTTTCGTGACTGCAGTAATTCATATTCTTAGTTTTTTCGGTAAAGTCACGTTGAAGGGAAACAACAAAATAATAAAGTATATATAAAACAATAAAAAATTCTCACGACGTTTCGACCATAACTCAAACGGTCGTCTTCAGGTGTGTTGGTTTGCATAAATTTATTTTAAAAACGGCGCATTTATTTATTTATGAAAACGTTAGCGCCACGCGCAACGATTTGGCAGTTTATTTAGGACTAGTCCATCTATATTCTGAAAAGAGGAGGTGGGAGACGAAATTTTTTATATTGATTGTTCACGCTTACAGTGGCTTTCAGACAGCATACATTATAAAAAATGTCGTCTCCCCCCTCCTCTTTTCAGAATATAGATGGACTAGTCCTAAATAAACTGCCAAATCGTTGCGCGTGGCGCTAACGTTTTTATAAATAAATAAATGCGCCGTTTAAAAATACATTTATGCAAACCAACACACCTGAAGATGACCGTTTGAGTTATGGTCGAAACGTCGTGAGAATTTTTTATTGTTTTATATATTTTATTATTTTGTTGTTTCCCTTCAACGTGACTTTACCGAAAAAACTAAGAATAGGACTATTTTACTTTGTGATTGTGAGCAACCCCACCATATTTTTTAAAATTTATTGTTAAATTATTTTATTATTTCCCTTCTACGTGACTTTACCGACAGAACCAAGAAGATTAATCCCTGCAGTCACGAAAGGTTTAAATGGAAACCCCACCATTCTCTATTGTTACAATCATCGATGCTCACCGTCGCGAATGACCAAATGCAGCCTTGGATAAAGGCCTCCCCCCAAGGTGGCGCTCTATCCACCTGGCACCTGTACACGAGATTATTTCCTCGTTCCATCTCCACGGTGGTGTGCCCTTTGGGAATATTCCATCCCTTGGCTGCCACTACGTAATCATACGACACCAGCCACCGCTCCATCTAGCAAGGTGTCCTGACTGCCTATGCCCACTTTTGATTGACAGTTCTTTGGCAGAGAATCAGAATGTGGTTTTATACTTGGAGGAATCCGATGAGCTATGAAGCTCTTTTTTCACAGATGTCCAGAATTTTCACAGGCGTAGATGTGCAATGGACTATAGTCACTATTCAGGTGAAGCCAGAGGAATGTGAAGTACCAGCTCGCAAAACCCCCATGCAAAGAATAACAACACATGAGCGGCGGAGATGAGAAATAAAGGTTTCTAATTCTGAAATGGAACCTCGTTGATACGGCATCAAGATAATTTAGATTATTCTGATGCTATGAATGTCCAAATGATGGCCCACTTTGTTGAGCTATCAGAGGGGTGGGGAGGGGGTAAAGGGGGGGTAAAGGGGGGCGGCGGGGGGAAAGTGGGGAGGGGGGTAAAGTAAAGGGAGGGAGGGGGGCAAAGGTGTAGCAAAGGTGGGAAGACGGTAAAGAGGGATGGGGGGTAAAGGGGGGAGGAGGGGTAAAGGGGGAGGAGGGGTAAAGGGGGGAGGAGGGGTAAAGGGGGGAGGAGAGGTAAAGGGGGGGAGGGGTAAAGGGGGGTGGTAAAGTAAAGGGGGGTGGGGGTAAAGGGGGGAGGAGGGGTAAAGGGGGGGGAGGGGTAAAGGGGGGAGGAGAGGTAAAGGGGGGTGGTAAAGTAAAGGGGGGTGGGGGTAAAGGGGGGAGGAGGGGTAAAGGGGGGGAGGGGTAAAGGGGGGTGGTAAAGTAAAGGGGGGTGGGGTAAAGGGGGGTGGGGGTAAAGGGGGGAGGAGGGGTAAAGGGGGAGGAGGGGTAAAGGGGGGAGGAGGGGTAAAGGGGGGTGGTAAAGTAAAGGGGGGTGGGGGTAAAGGGGGGAGGAGGGGTAAAGGGGGGGGGGGAGGGGTAAAGGGGGGCGGGGGGTAAAGGGGGTAGGGGGGTAAAGGGGGGAGCGGGGTAAAGGGGGGAGGGGGGTAGAGGGGGGTAAAGGGGGGTAAAGGGGGGAGGGGGGTAAAGGGGGGAGCGGGGTAGAGGGGGGTAAAGGGGGGGAGGGGGTAAAGGGGGGGAGGGGGGTAAAGGGGGGGGAGGGGGGTAAAGGGGGGGAGGGGGGTAAAGGGGGGGAGGGGGGTAAAGGGGGGGAGGGGGGTAAAGGGGGGTGGGTGACAGTTAACGGTTGTGAAGAGCCGCGTCACGTGACAGGCGCCAGTTGGAGTCAGGCGCTGGCAGCAAGCAGTGACGGAGCGACTCAGTGAGTCGCAGCCAGGCATAGTCGTTGCACATTAACGTCTAAGGTACTGTATATAAAGTCGCGTTATTTATTAAGTTGACTATTCCGATTTATGTTGCTTTGACATTGTATTATGTACGTATTTGGATAGCTCAGCCCATCCGGGTCTTGCTTTAAGTTGTCAAACGCGTGTAGGGATGGGGACACTGAAAGAAAAACATTGATAAATCGAACACTCCACGTTTTTAATGATGGCGTTAATGAACACGAAAATATAGGAACCAAGACATTGATGCTTTCGGTGTTTTATTTTACTTTTCAGGATGCATCGTAGCAAAATAACTTCATAATCTTGCAGAAAAAAACAATCGTATGGATGGTGGTCGGTGTTTGCAGGGTGAATATTCACCCACTAACGAATGTTATCTATATATAGTATTGGTTCTTTCGGTAAAGTCACCACGAAGAAGGGAAACTAAATTAAAAAAATATATAAAACAATAAAATTCTCACGACGTTTCGACTGCAACACAAGCAATCATCAGGCGTGAAAACCGCAGCAAGAACATTTTTAATTTTATTGTTTCCCTTCTACGTGACTTTACCGAAAGAACCAAGAATATGAAACCCTGCAGTCACGAAAGCTTTAAATCAGAATATTATCTACTTTACCATATGCACTTTAACAACAACTGCAGCTGTATATACACTATATATACCGATTATTTTTTAATTAAAGAGCTGAAGGTGGCTAAGGGACAGCGGGAGAGTATTTCATGTTGTATTTCGATTTTTCGTTTGTAAAAAAAACAACACCGAAACCAAATTATCGATGATGTCACGTAGAAAGAAAATAAATTAAATAATAGAGTACGATGTTTCGATTGCAACACAAGCAGTCGTCATCAGGTCGAACTAAATTCGAGAGACAGACACAAGCAGAGAGAGACAACACAGATACACACAGAGAGAGACACACACAACATAGACACAGAGAGACAACACAGACACAGAGAGACACAACATTAACACACAACATAGACACAAGCAGAGAGAGACAACACAGACACACAACATAGACACAAAGAGACAACACAAGACACAGAGAGACACAACATAGACACACAACATAGACACACAAGCAGATAGAGACAACACAGATACACACAGAGAGAGACACACACAACATAGACACAGAGAGACAACACAGACACAGAGAGACACAACATTAACACACAACATAGACACAAGCAGAGAGAGACAACACAGAGACACAACATAGACACAGAGAGACAACACAGACACAGAGAGACACAACATAGACACACAACATAGACACAAGCAGAGAGAGACAACACAGATGCACACACAGAGAGGCACACACAACATAGACACAGAGAGACAACACAGACACAGAGATACACAACATAGACACACAACATAGACACACAAGCAGAGAGAGACAACACAGACACACACAACATAGACACAGAGAGACAACACAGACACACAGAGACACAACATAGACACACAGAGAGACACAAGCAGAGAGAGACAACACAGACACAGATAGAGACACACAACATAGACACAGACAGACACAAGCAGAGAGAGACAACACAGATACACACAGAGAGAGACACAACATATGTTGTGTCTCTCTCTGCTTGTCTGTCTGTGTGTCTATGTTGTGTGTCTCTGTGTATCTCTGTGTGTCTCTCTGCTTGTGTGTCTGTGTCTATGTTGTGTGTTTCTCTCTGTGTGTCTGTCTGTGTGTCTATGTTGTGTGTCTCTCTGTGTATCTGTGTGTGTCTCTCTCTGCTTGTGTGTCTGTGTTGTGTCTCTCTCTGTGTGTCTGTGTTGTCTCTCTGCTTGTGTGTCTATGTTGTGTGTCTCTCTGTGTGTATCTGTGTTGTCTCTCTCTCTCTGCTTGTGTGTCTGTCTGTGTGTCTGTGTTGTGTGTCTCTGTGTGTCTGTGTTGTCTCTCTCTCTGCTTGTGTGTCTGTCTGTGTCTATGTTGTGTGTCTCTCTCTGCTTGTGTGTCTCTCTGTGTGTCTTATGGTGTGTGTGTCTCTCTGTGTGTCTCTGTGTTGTCTCTCTCTGCTTGTGTGTCTATGTTGTGTCTTTCTCTGTGTCTCTGTGTTGTCTCTCTCTGCTTGTGTGTCTGTCTGTGTGTCTCCGTGTTTTGTCTGTCTCTCAAACTTAGTTCTACCTGATGACGGTTGCTTGTGTTGCAATCGAAACGTCGTACTCTATTATTTAATTTATTTTCTTTCTACGTGACTTTACCGAAAGAACCAAAGAGTAATTATTCCTGCAGTCACGAAAGCTTCAAATCTAGTTTCAAAATATCGATGTTTAAATGTTACCAGGGATTCCACATCGATGTTTTGATATCGATGTTTATAGAGCCAGAACATTGATTTGACAGAACCAGAACACCGATGGGTCTTATGAATGTAATTATTCCTTTCACAGAACTGTATTGCGGGTGAAGATTAAAACTAAATTAGATTAAAATTAATTATCAAGTTAACTGTGCCCTGTACCCTTACATTTAATGGTTAAACAACCCACATTGGCTACGCACGGCGTGAAAGAAGTTCAACATAGTACACATGCATACGACTGACAAATCAAATTTCCATTGGTGGCTCATTTTCTTTGGTTCTTTCGGTAAAGTCACGTAGAATGAGAATAAAATAATAAATTGATAAAATAAAATAACACAATAATATTCTCACGACGTTTCGGCCACAACACAAGCGGCCTTCATCAGGTGAAGGGATGAGACTGTCTGGAGGACAGCGCTGTCCTACCAGACAGTCTCGTCCCTTCACCTGATGAAGGCCGCTTGTGTTGTGGCCGAAACGTCGTGAGAATATTATTGTGTTATTTTATTTTATCAATTTATTATTTTATTATCATTCTACGTGACTTTACCGAAAGAACCAAAGAAGATGAATCATTGCAGTCACGAAAGCTTTAAATCGAAATTTGGTGGCTCATTGTTTCTCCTCAAGTATTTAACGCCAACTGCCACATTTCACGACTGCGTATCCATTAACAAAAACATTTCCCGCCAATACTGAGGGCGTGACGTAACGCGTAAACGCTCCAATCGCACGTCAAGTGGGGGGGGGTGAGGTCTGGTGGGGGGTGGAGGTCTAGTGGGGGGGGGGTCTTGGAAGGGGGGGGTGGGAGGAAGTCTGGTGCGGGGGGGGGGGTCTGGTGGAGAGGGGAGAGATCTGGTGGGGGGGTCGGGGGAGGGAGGTCTGGTGGGGGGAGGTCTGGTGGGGGGGGTCTGGTGGTGGGGGGGGGTCTGGTCTGGGGAAGGAGGTGGCGTGGGTCACGTGATGAGGGAGAAGGGCGAGGCCCGTGGGTGGTCACGTGCTACCTCGTGGAGCTGGCCACGCGTACGTGAGTGTTCCACGGTCGCGCTCCGAAACAAACAACAGCAGCAAAGTAATCATGTAAATGCCATTGTAAAAAAACTAATTGGTGATCATGTTTAATATGAAGATGAACGAGGCGCAGGGCTCCCGTTACCGCAGCCGGGAGTGCGAGCAGATGGACGCGGGGCTCGCGGTGCTGGGCCTACACCGCGTGGCAGTGGCGAGGGACTCGTCCAGCGTGTACAGGGTCGTGGCGCAAGAGGTGACGCGTGCATTATCGATGAGTAGTCATGCAAGATTATTAACTAGACTGTTGTTATTTTACCCATTTTCAGAGCGGGGTAAAGACGATGAAAATTAAAGGGTTTCGAAAAAGTTTTGACCATCATGGGACCTTTGCCAGTACCAAAATATGAGAATAGGTTTTCCCCTTTTTTCTGGCAACAAAACAGGTGTTAAGATATTCTTGGTTCTTTCGGTAAAGTCACGTAGAAGGGAAACAGAATTAAAAAAAAATATTTTAAAAAATATAAAACCATAAAATTAACACGACGTTTCGACTGCAACACAAGCAATCATCATAAGGTGTGAAAACCACAGCAAGACAATTTGAAAAAAGTGGCGTTTTTTTTTAACGTTAGCACCACGGAGAGCGATTTGGCAGTTTGTTCAGATGGACGAGTCCATCTATGTTCAGAAAAGAGGAGGGGGGAGACGAAAATAATGGATGTGGTCTGAAAGCCACCGTAAGCGTGAACAATCAATTAAGACCTGAAATGGTTTATCAAATTCTTCCAATGATTGCAAAGCCAGAATTCATCTTCTCGGTTGAAATTGTCTCTGTGTTTGTATATGTGGATAGCCTCATGAACGAATCTCTCATGGTAGCCAGATGTCTTGCAGAGAACCTCTGTCTTGGAGAAGTCAATGTCATGTGAGCCTACTGAATTATAACAATGATCTGCCACGGCCGAGGTGTTGGTCCTACCGTGTTTTAGGTCTGCTTTGTGTTCACGGATGCGGTCCGAGACATGTCGTTTGGTTTCTCCAATGTAACTACTACCACAGAGGCAACTTAGTTTGTAGACGGCAGGGTACTGTATGTCCGGAATCACATCTTTTACAGACGGAACCAGATCACGGATTTTATGTAATGTGTTGAATCGGACCTGGATCTTGTGTTTATTCAAGATTTTGGAGATCTTTTTGTGATCCCCGCAATGTAGGGTAAAGTGATGGTTTTGAATGGCTCCTCAAGAGGGTCCTTCTTCATGGTCGGAGTGATAGCTTTACAGATTGTGTAGTCGGAGTAACCATTAGCCTTAAGAGCTTGGTGTACGTGCTTGAGTTCACTGGCTGTGTGTTCCTGGTCGGATATGCATTGGGCTCAATGGTGCAGAGTCTTGATGAGGGAATTCTTCTGGGATGGATGGTGGTGGGAATCCGGTTTCAGGTAAGCATCTGTATGGGTAGCTTTTCTGTAGACAGAGTGGCTCATTGAACCATCAGATCTCTTTTTTATTAGCACATCCAAAAAAGGTAGCTTGCCATCTTTTTCAACTTCCATGGTAAATCTGATGGCTGGGTGTATGGAATTGATGTGGTCGAGGAATTGGTCTAGAGTAGGCCGGCCATCTGGCCAGATGACAAAAGTGTCATCCACGTACCTCTTCCATAAGGTTTGGCGCAGAGTGGCAGTCTGGATGGCGTCAGTCTCAAATTTCTCCATGAAAATGTTGGCTACAACCGGAGATAGGGGGGAGCCCATTGGGGTGCCCTCAGTTTGTTTGCAGAAAGTTCCATTCCAAGTGTAGTATGTATTGGTTAAGCAGTGTCTCACCAGGGGGGGGTACCTCTGTTTAGTCCTTGATGAAACACGTCTTCAATTATTGCGATGGTGTCAGGTACAGGAACTTTTGTGAATAAGGAAACTACATCAAAACTGAGGTCGTCTGGGGACAGGGAAATACCCTTGATTGTCGATACCAGGTGAGTAGAATTTTGTACTGCAGAGGTGGTTTTTCCAGTGAACGGCCGCAGGATTTCAGACAGAAAATGAGCCAGTTTGTAGGTGGGGGAGTTGATAGTAGAGACGATGGGACGAAGGGGTGTATCTACTTTATGTATAAAAAAACGCCACTTTTTTCAAATGTTCTTGCTGTGGTTTCCACACGTGATGATGATTGCTTGTGTTGCAGTCGAAACGTGATAATTTTATTGTTTTATATATATTTGTATTTTATTGTTTCCCTTCTACGTGACTTTACCGAAAGAACCAAGAATATGAATCCCTGCAGTCACGAAAGCTTTAAATCAAAATGTAGGTGTTAAGATGTTAAAACACCAAACTGAAACCTTTTACAAGGAATCATGTCTGCATTGACCACAATACTTGTGATCAGAATGCAAACAAAAACGTACTCTGATATATGCATTGTCTTTGAAACTGATTGGTCCACATCAGAGGCAGCTTTCTTTTGAGCCTAGTCTCAAACAGTTAGACCAGAGGGGTCCTCTGGTCTAACACCAATCAGTTTAAAAGACAATGCATATATTATCAGAATACGTTTTATGTTTGCATTATGACCACAAGTATTGTGGTTAATGCAGACATGATTCCTTGTAAAAGGTTTCAGTTTGGTGTTTTAACATCTTAACACCTGTTTTGTTGCCATAAAAAAGGGGGAAAACCTATTTTCAAGTTTTGACCATGTTTTTTGTTTCGATTAAAACGAACGGCATCCTTTTAAAGCTTCGTTATCTGATATGATAATCGTAATACATATTTGACACTTTCACTTATGTTTTGAGAGCTTACCTTGGTTTTTGTTTTCTTTCAACAAATTCAAATAAAATGAGCTTATCTGCGGCACACAGCGCGTTCCCATTGAATGAGGGCACAGACGAAACAATATTTCATATACCAGCAGTAAAGACATCTGTCCAGCAGCTGGATCGAAGTAACACGTTCAACTGTAGAAAGATATCACTAAAGGACTACGAAACAGAAATTCCTAGGGCCTGCAAGAACCTTCATCCGGCCGTGGTGTGAGGCCCGCCACACATTTGGAACCATTGGTGGTTTGATAGCACGATGATGCTGGGGGTGGTGTTTTCAACATTTGTGTATTTTCGGTAAAGTCACGTAGGTATAAAATAAAATAAATCACGACGTTTCGGGCGCAACAAGCGTCGGTCATCAGGTGTGTTGCGCCCAAAACGTGATTTATTTTATTTTCTACCTAAGTGACTTTACTGAAATAACCAAGAGTATGGATTCCTGCAGTGAAGAAAGCTTCAAATCAAAATTTGTGTATTTGCCGGGGGCCCGCACTAAAGGCCACCAAGGGCCGCCAGTGGCCCACGAGCCTTGCAATGAAGAACGCTCGGGTAGGGAATACGCATGCCTGTGACCTACACGGTTTACGCCATATTCTTGTGCAATACGGGCAAACATATATATATACATTTGTCTATTTGTTTGTGTTTCTCCCTTGTGATGGGAATTTTTGTAGGATGAACGTTGAGATTTATAAGGGGCACGGGGTGACCAATAAGGTTTGCATTGGTCTGTTAATCAGGTAGGGCACTGATAAGGGGTTGACAGATATGGAATAGTATTTGTGTGAACAGAGCACGGTAGTGGTGAGAGGTAGTTTGCAAAGCAAGATGACGTGACCAGACCCTGCGAAGTTAGCTGGTGGCTTTTGTTATTGCGCCTCAAATGAAAGCTGGGCAAAGAGTGTGCATAGCTGTCAACCCATACGGTTTACCCCGTATTCTTGTACAGGTAAATAGAGTGTTCAGGTCCATACGGCGTACAGCCGTTTCAATACGCGCAAAGCATGTTTTGTCTTTGTGTGTCTCCCTTTTGATGGGACTTTGTAGGATGAACGTTGAGAATTGTAAGGGCACAAGGTGACCAATAAGGTGTGATTTGGTCTGTAATAAGGTCGGGTACAGGCAAGGGGTTGACAGGTGTGAGTGTGAGATGGCGGGGACAGGAGGGGGGCGGACATTGCGAGAAGCAGTGACCGGCCCAAGATGTCGCGGGCCTCCTTTACGGGACGCTTGAACTGATTTATAGAAATAATGTTATTGTCCATAATATGATTGTCACCTATGATAAGCGTTAAATAGTGTCGCGACCGTGAATGCGATGTTTATTGCGGCTACATGGCAGTGGCGCATGACGGGGTCCTATTAATTATGCTACACAGTTCTAATGCCAACTACGTGTATTAATTATGTATCGAACAACATACTGGTATAAACTGTGGTGCAGCACAACGATGTTAATTATATGCTGAATGTGGTGTGTACTGTGCCTTCAGGGCAATGGGCTCATGAGGTGGGGGCTTAATTATTAGCTTAGTTTAGGCACCCTGCATACAGTAACGGTAATAACTACAGCATGATATAGTGCCGTAAATGATAGCGACTGTATATTACTAAGTGGTGCATGATGTGGTCTTTTTATACTTAACATGTATTTATAAGACACTGATTATGACCCATTATAATGATTTAGTTGACCATGAAGTGGTCTTTTAGTTTAATTATATTCTTGTCTCGCTAATCTGTTTCATCATGAGGCGATTACATACACGTTAAACAATGAGAGGTTAGAATACGGCAACCCAGTGATACGTGGCTCTTAATAATAGGCGTTTAATTGTATCCAACGTCTTAATTCATATAATGGCGTAGTGGCAACCAACGAACAATGCGGCTGGGAGGATGTTTGCTGAGGAGGTGGCTTAGTTGTTAGGTGAATTATTATATCTCAGGCTCGTGAGAGATGGCAGATTGCATACTCATACCTGTCAACCCCTTATCAGTGCCGACCTTATTAAGGACCAGTTCACACCTTATTGGTCATCCCGTGCCCTTATAAATAACAACGTTCATCCTACATCACACAAGGGGGAAATACAAACAAATAGACAAAAAATAATCTGGTTCTTTTGGTGAAGTCACGTAGGTAGGAAAATAAAATAATATATCACGACGTTTCGATTGCAACATAAGTGGTCGTCCTCAGGCAGAACAAATAATCCAGCAGTGGAACTGCTGAACCAGACACAAATTTTTTTAGGTCAATTTCCCTGTACAAGAATACGGGAAAACCGTATGGGTTGACTGGTATGCGTACGCCGTAATCAAGCAGTGGATTGATCATGGGTGATAATGAAGGTACACATTCTTAAAGTGCCTCAACTTGCTGCACGGGCTACATGTATAAACATACCTCAACTAGATAAAGTCATATTTATTTAATTAAACATTGAAAATATTGTACTGGTGCGTTTACAACACCAAGTGTTCTGATAAATACCGGTGGCAATTTCATCAAATGTTGCAGGATTATACTTTTTTTTTAGTATTTCAAGATTATTTTGTGAAGGAATGGTTGCGCATGTTGCTGTTGCGAAAGGGCAACTACTGTATACGCATGCTGTATATGCACGCTGTGTGTTTGATTTTGTTTCAGATATTCTACACGCAGTCGAAACATCGAGAAGTACGGAGAGAGTGTGCACAGTTTATCCAAGGCAACAGTGATTCACTCAAGAAGGTGCTCGTGTGATGATAACCTATGAGCACTTGTTACTTTATGGTAGATGATACTTAAATATTACATCGAATTTTTAACTACATTTTATGTTTACCTACAGATTTCAAAAAGCCCCCTGAAATGTATCGTCAACAGTGTCCTAGATCCAAGAGTAAGTAAAATCACAAAGCAATTGCAGTTATGTGTTCCAAGTCATGAAAGGATGGTAAAGCTATGGGGTAGAATAAGGAGCTTTTTTATTGTTACATTTATTTTAACAAAACGCGTGCCCGTCGTCACAGCCTGGTCACGTAGCTCACAAATCCGGGAATAAAAAATCGCGGAGGACCGTCCCCGATGCAACCCAACGAGCCGTAAAAAGACAGGGGGGTGGTTGGGGGGGTAAAAGGTGGGGAGAGGGACCCACTGTCCCAACTAAGTGAGGTCAAACACGGCGAGAATAAGGAGCTTTGATAGATTTGTTAACCCTGCAAGATAGAGAGTGCTGGCAAGCCAGGACTAAATGAGTTTTACGTTAAATAACAGTAAGGCATTATTTTCCGAACATAAGTAGATTGTAAAAAATGTGATCGGCATTTTAAACTACTCTACTTTGGTATGAGCTCAGTATGTAAACCGGTAATGTACATTTTCCGATCTTTGTATTGTTATTTATGCGGTAAATAAAAAGGATCTTGATCACGTTTGAGCTTTCGTGTAGGTTGTTTAATGCGGAGTGGCTCATTATTAGTACGTTATATTGTGTTTATTGCCCACCCAATGGGTGATTGATTTGGTATGGTGAGGTTTATATTCAAACATGGTTAATTAGCAGTATAACCTCGGACACATTAAGCATCATTTGAGTCTTGCACAACGGTGTGTCATTTTGATTGTTTTCTGTCAGATGCCAGCTGGCAATGTGGAGATGGCTGCCCTAGCCTTGTTGTACAGGTGAGAGAAAAGCAAACATACAATTCTGAGCAATTCCACCAACTTGCTGGAAAGGACACATTGTTTACTTCATTGTAAATGCGTTAATATCCTTAGAGGTTCCATGTTTCATTCAAACTGGATGTATGCATATTATTAACATAATGTGTTCTTTTCAGATGTGATTTTTTAATCTACAGAGAGCCAAACAAACCACCGTTCAAGGCTACTAGCAATGGATTTTCCAAAAAGGTGTTAATACATGTCAAATATTTTTTTTATTATTAGCTACGCTAGTTCATAAAGCATGTCTTCGCCTGGCAAAACTTTCAATAAATATAATTCACCTGAATTATTCAGATGTGAACATCATAAAATGCGTCTCTTTGAAAACTGCTTTAATCCGAAATATCTCATAAACAACAAAAGATAGAACAAGGGTTCTCGATTTAATTGTATTTGCTGTTTAACACTATCAATCAAAAAGAAATGCAATCTTATATTTTGAACGGTTTCTGAATGACACAAACGTCTATGGGGCACTAAAAAATATATATCTAGATTTGGGGGCCTTAAAATGAAAAATCTCGGATTTTCTTATTTTCCTGTTTGTGTGCTTAACGCTACTTATGTACCAAATTCCAGCTTTCTACCTTTTCGGGAAGTATCCTAGAGGTTTTTTTTATACATGCATACAGATTAAGGTCTTTATATTATAAGATTGTTTTGACTCGCACACAACAATAGAGTTTTGTCTGAAGTTTAGCGCGTAGACAATAAGTAATTGTGGAAAAATATTGACAGAATGAAATAACATTTGAAATATAATGCACGTGCAAATTCGGAGTGTGGAGATGAAAGTATTTATGCAAGGCTAAATAGCCATAAAAAATGTTGATAGGACAGCATGTTAAACATTCGCTGTAAATGTGACAAATGATTAGGTCTGGAGAATGTTATTAATGAAAAGTAATTAATGTGTATTTAGAGAAAGCAGATTAAGACTGCAGTAAATATTCTGCTGATAGTTGTAATTTGCATTCAGGTGATGCTGTGCCAACGCTATGAAGCGAAATATGATGCTGTCTGTTCCAAACAGACATACACAGCTGCAGCTATTTGCCAGTGTAAGGAACTTTTCAACATGCACTATTCATTTTGACATTAATCACATTAAACGGAATGTCCTGCACAAAATTTGTGAACTATGGTAATGGTTGTTTTCACAAGTACTGTAATTACACTGCAAAATTATATTACCTTCAAGTGTAATTTTTCTGCGTGTGGGACAGCGATTGTGTACAATCTTCTGTACACGCACGTGTTTGGGGTAAGTCCGGATGTGGTGGCTCGTGAGGTGGAGTGGTTTCGCTTGCAGGAAGAGACTCAAGGTCGCCAAAAGGAGAGTCGGCATCCCACTACCTTGGCCCGTGATGGCAAGCCGTGAGTCCCCTAAGCATACAAAGTGACAGGCAGTTAATGCTACCATCATCAGTGTGTCCAATTCAAGTAAACCATTATCTTCACAGATATGCTTGCAATAATGCATGTTCCAATGTATTTTTTGTTTCAGATTGGTAGGATATTCATATGCTGAAAAGACTTCAAGAAAAATAATTAAAGCTGGCCAGGTATTATCTGTAATTTGTGAGAGAATTGAATATTGTGCCTGCATTTGGTTCTTGTGAGATCATGTTTATGCTGTAAAGCGTTAAAGCCAAATTATCTTGATCTGCCTTTATCCTCAATTCTAGGCTCACTTTCCAGTGTTTCCTTTCCGAGTGCTGAAATCTCTGGACTCAGAAATATATCGCAATGTGGAGTTTGATGTCTGGATTGATTCTGCAAGAGGTGTGTAAAGTTGGAATTTTATGTTTTTAATGGCAATAGTTAAATGTAGAGATCATGTTATAGCAAAATTTATGTGCTTTGTTAAACTTCGTTTTTGCTATTTACAGACTGTATAAGCAATGAACGTTTTATATATATAGATATATAACAATAATCTAAAACTGATTCCTACATAACACATTTATATATTGGAGTATAGTTTGTATGAACAATAATACTCACTTCGTTTTAAAGGTATGTGGTATAAAACAAGACACAAGAGGGTGCTGTCTGATCATAATATACACTACCGTCTAATGTTTTAATGTTGCATCCCTTATCAAAATACAGTTTTCCAAGTGCATGCACGTTTTGTTTGCATGCCCTTTTGCAGGCTACACAATGACAAGATTTCCAGTTTTGGAGTTTTCAGGGGGTGAAAAGTGTGAGGTATATTTTAATTGTAGAGCTCATTGTGTGTTTCAGTCTGTTATCCAAATATTGATCAGCGCCTTAGAAGTTGTAATACGGTTTTGACAATATTGCACTTCACACACTCATTGCACTCTTATATCACATTTTTTAATTTTCACTCGTTTTTCAATTGGCACACATTTGCTCGCAAAACAACACTGCACACAGTGACCAGGGTAGATGCGTTTCCAGGCTTGAGTATACGTAATTGAAACCCTTAAAATCTCCATGTATATCTGGGGGTTAACACCATGCATTTTGTTGACAATTTAATTAAACCAACTGACCACAGTACTGAGCACATTATTGCTCGTAAATCAATGAAGTTGCCAAAATGGCATATACTCTATATATTTTTAAAAACCTATGCTTTAGTATAACGCATAGTACTTTGGCATTGTTGTTAAATGGAAATAATTGTGATGTGATTTAGAGATGGCAACATTGTGGCTGATTTCATCTGGTTGATGGATTGTGTTGTTGCTTACTGTGACCTCTGGATTTCCTTTGGTGTAGGTGCAGTTGAAGCCTGGAGGGAGGTATTATAGTGCCTCCATCCAGAAAATCAACCCAAATTACCAAACTGTCACTGTGTTCATTAAAGCCCTTGCACAAAGGTATTTGTCGCTGTAAATAGACAATTCTTTTATCATCAATAGCAAATAAAGCACTTTTTTACTGCATCGCAGCTGTCATGCATCACGTGATTTTACATTAACTTTTAAAAGGAAGTTTACAATTACAAACATTCTTCTTAGGGTCTCTCGAGGCCAGAGCCATTTGGTGACATTAAAATGGAAACTTTGTCAATCCACCAAGTGGAGCAACAGATGTTTCATGAGTGGAAAGTGTTTGGGGAATTTTGCAAAACATTTATAATTGAAACATATGGTAGTCAACCATAAGGATTTTGTTCTGTATTTGATGTCCCATATGAACTATACATAACGTGTTTAATTTACAATTTAAACGTGCAGGATTTCTGTTGTAATAATGCAGGAATGTACAATGGTCATGTGCAAGTCGTTAGGTTTGCTCTTTAGGGACAAATGTGTGGAGTGCTGTGAGCACGAGTGGGCTCAACATGAGCCCCCGTGATTGCTTTCAATTGCAGGCATCACGTTATGCTGGAGAGCGTTCGTGCCATGGGTTACCAATCGGCTTCTGAAAGGATGATGGGCATCCAGGGTGCGTCATCTAGACAGCTTTTCGAAATGCCTATTCAGCACCGGAAGCATGGTGTGTAATATCGCACACTTCATACGAGGAACTGAAATTGAGGATGTGTACTACGTGTATTTGTATATTTTTTTAAAGTGTGACAGTAATTATTTTGGCTGATCAAGGTTTTATTCTTGATTCCTCTGCCTAAGTAGGCATATTCTTCCCCACATCCTGTCTAATGTTGGACCTCTGTATTTGGTGAAATGGCTTCTGTTTAGACCATTTTTCAAGCAGCACCTTCCTTTTCGCCCTCTTGGCCTTCTCAAACTTTCTTCTAGAGCTTCAGCAAACTATCACCTCTGGCATGCCTAATGCAGATCTAATCAATGAAAATCACATAGCTTAAAATATCCATTAACACTTATCCAACTTTGTGCTCATGGACTTGTAATAATATTTAGTTTCATACTCGTACCTCCTTATAACAGAATGCAATATATGTGCCATGACTTAACACATTAGTTTGAGAATCTGAACATGCCATCATTGTTTTTTCACCCTTCTGATGTGTTGTCAGAACGTTATTACGGACACCTAAGTCATTCTTATCGACAAGACTACCCTTCATATTCTGGTCGTCTCACTGGATCGGGCTCCTTGTACAAAGGCCATTCGAATGGCCAACATTGCAAGCCCCCAAGAAAGATGGAAAGGCCTCCTGCTCACGGGTAATGTTTGTGCAAGAAACATTTCATTAGTCGTCTACGGTTCTCCTCAGGATTGGTTCAGGAAGCTAGGTTCTTGGTTAGTGGAGGTTATTAAATATGACAATTTAAATTACCATATGCATTTATTCCATTGCCAAAGATGTGTGGCAAGAGAGCACACGAGAACTGATGCTAACAAAATGATTTCTTTTTAACCTTAATGCAATTAATATGCAGTAAGGAAACCTTGATTCTGCATGTTAATTGATAATTAAAGTTATTTTAAAATTAGGTTTAAGTACAACACTTGCGTTTTCCTAATTTCAGAACGAAAGTGTTAATTATATATGGACAACATTCCATGCATTATTCACTGGCAAATATTTAAGCTGGAGTGAATGTAAAAAGATGAAAGATATCAGTATAATTGCCTTTTTAGCATTTAACATATTTGGGTAATTGCAAATTTTTATCTGTGGAAATAATAATGTCCTGAGTGCTGTTATAGCAGAAACAAGCAGAAGAATGACTCCAAATAGTACTCGTACTTTTGCTTGTCATTGTGTAGTGAGTCCAGCTGAGTCGCAGACGTTCCTCTTAAAGGCAACGCAATTATTGTAACACCATAACACAAAGGGGTAACGGCCCCTTTACCCGATACAGCCTAGGGTGGTGACCACCCAGCTAACTACGCTATACATAGAGGTTACTGCTACGAAGGGCCGGACCCTCACTCGGGTTTCTGACCACGTGGTTGCCTCGTAAGACGAAGGGCTTCCAGCTTGAGATGTAGAGCTTCCTGCTTGTAGGTGTTGAGCTTCCAGCTTGTAGAATGCAGCGACCTCGGCCCCTCTCAGGGACCCGCCTTATATCCCCCTACGGTCGGGGCCGCTCTCTCCCTTGGCCCCGCCCGCCTTCTCGAGCATTCTCGTTCCCTCTCGATCCTTCTCATGAGCTCTCCCCGGACACGTGATCACCCACTAGCCCCCCACCTGGGGCCCCCTGTGTGGACACTCCGGATCACGTGTCTACGGGGTCAACCAGAGTGCCATGGCCTGGGGCAACCTTGCCCCTGGGCTGAGACTCACCCACTCCCTCTCGTGGGAGCCCCCACCACACACTGTGTGTGGTGCCCGCACTATTCCAGTGCTCACCAAGCCCCACTCGGGCTGGTATTACACACAGCCACACACACGGTGCTGTCCTCGATGTAGGAACATCGATTGGCACGGCTCGTCTGGGCTGGCACCATACAGTGACATCTCACTACAATTGTGGTAGATGTGTGGGCTATTCGGATCTTCGTGAAATGTCTACAGGCATGTGTAATTGATGTCAATTTGGCAAACAGCCTTTGGTGCACAATCACTCACTAAATGGTTTTTGTACACTCAGCTGGAAATGCAGCCAGTTTTTGAATGTTTACTAGGAGTGATCATAAATGTTGGTAACTTGGTATAGAGTAAAGGAAGGATTTATAAAACAACTAAAATGTTTAGATTGTGACGTGGAGGTTAAGGGAGAAAAAAAACATCTCCCCATTTCTGTGGCATGGTTTAATTTCAGTAAATTAAAGATTGCGCACTCCCATTGTGTCACTTTGTAAAAGTAAAGTGGACACATGCAGTCAATATATACCTACGAAATTAATCAGTTTGGTGTTGCATAACCACGTAAGTTCTGTAACTGTTTAAGATGACTTTCATCTGTTCAATCTCCCAAACACTTCCCAGACAGTTGTTGCTCCATCCATGACATCGGGGCTTTCTCTTGAGCTTGTTAGCTTTGGCAACACGACTACTAGACCTCTTGTGTGACCCCACAATTACATTTAACATTGCTTAGCCTCTCAAGTGTGGCCATTGCTCAATATTATTTTACATTCCCAGTCAATGTAAAGTAGCTGTATAATTGACAATATTGGAGTGGATTATTTGAGATAACTAATGATCTGTGCCATTGAAAAAATGTCTGGTTAATGTAAAGGTCATTTTGCTGGATTTTTGAAATTGGCAGCAAAATACAGCAGTTTCGTAATGAATGCTTGTGTAGTGACATAGGACGTCACTACTGTATAGGCCCGTACGAGGACTGGGGGTGCCTGGGGGGGTCACGTGGTGGAGGACCCGGACCTTCCTAGAGGTGGGGGAAGGGAGGCATGGCCTGGGCGGAGCCGGCCACGCCAGTGCGGTTATAAGGGGGGTGTGAAGGCAGAGCGGGGCTGTTCAACCCCGAAGTGAAGACGACATCACTCCTCAAGTCCCGGGTCATCGTCTGGGACCAGGCAAGCCCGTTGCCTGCCTGGGTCATGCTGTATAGTGTTCCAGAGTGTTAGTGAGTTGAGGAAGGTGGTCACCATCTTATGTACAGTGTTATATTACTTGCCATTCTAATAAAGAGTGTTGCCTCCAAGCTGGGTGTGTGCACCTAATTCGAACTTACTACATTTGGTGTCAGAAGTTGTGGAAAAATAAATATTGCTAGGTGTTATCCTAGGGTAGTAAAATGAGCACACTAAAAAAACTCACCTGGACGCCTTCGTACGACGAGGACGGGGTGACGACCATACTTTGGACAGCCCCGGGGATGGCAGCCCCGGTGACAGAGAGAGAGAGATGGCGCTGCACGCGGAGTGGCGGGACTGGCATCGCACCGCTGCTTCGCCGCCATCGGGAACGGAGCGTCGGAGCCGCGGGGAGAGGACGCCGTCGTCGCTGCGGGGGCTGGCAGGGGAAGCCCGGGCATGCGGGCCACGCGGTGGGGCGCTGTTCCCGCCAAAATGCCGTTCCCGCCATTTCGGCGGTTGGCGGGGGTGCTGTTCCCGCCAAAATGCCGTTCCCGCCGACATCACCTGTGGTGGCGGAGCTCCACACGTTCGAGTGGCGGCGCCCCGTCTTCTGCTCGAGCGCGGGTGGCGGCTGCAGTCGCAAGACGAGTCCATGTTGGCGTGCAAGATTTTTCGGGGCATCCCAGCGCTCCACCCTGCCGTCCTCCGCTCTTCACAGCTTGCCAGGCGAGGCGTGACGCGACACACACCTCTGACACCTCATCCATCTTGCGTGCGCTGGGTTGTGAGTTTGTGTTATTTTTTTAAATTGTTTTCCCGCCGGCATGCGGGGCGTCCAATTGCTTTTGAATAACTTTCCTCTGTCCGTGACGTTCGTGTCGGGTGTCCGCGTGTTACATTATTGGTTAATTACAGCGTTGGGATTGTTATCAAGGAGCCAGTTGATTCATTCGGCTATGTGGGGGGTCTCGGGCTCCGTTAAGATCCAGTGAATTGCCAGGTTATGATTTGTTGACACTTTGTTTGGGTATACAGTATGGAGCTTCGCTCGTGAATGTTGTCAATGTGTGACTTTGCGATACTTTGCTTGTGAGTGTTAATGTATGGTTTGTATGGAGCTTTGTTCGTGATTGTTAATGTATAGCTTGTGCTGCGATTGTTAACGATGTATGGACTGTATGGAGCATTGCTCGAGATGGTTGGCTATATGCGGACTGCATATGCTGCATGTACTGTATTACTTAATTCGCCGATTCTTGGGGTTTGTGTATAGTTATTTTGGCTCTAAAATTTTGAATGCCTGAACCCCATGATTAATGTTGAAGGGGATTTTCAAATGACAGGTTCAGTGTGTTACGTACTCACTGGTTGGTTCCTATCCGTTGTTGCTCGATACATGAAAAAATAAGTTTTTTGTGCGAGGGTGCCCCTTAGGTTCTATGTAGATCAAGGGTGCTTGGGGCTGTAAATTGCCGCCACATTGCGTTGCTCTCTCAACTCGGTTGGTACAGCTGCATGCTGAAATGCGAGTCTCTGAGATGATGTGTACGGATACGAGATGTGAGGTGTATTGTTGTGACCATTGGATATTCGGGATCGTCACAAATTGTGCGTACCTGTTTGACTTTGGATCAATTCAGTGGGGGATCCTAATTCTAATTGTTTGTGTTGTGATGGTGTTAAATTGTGTGGGGGGTGACTGCCTTGGGTTTTGGCTCTGACGTCATTGGTATGGAGCATTTAAATTGCAATGGTGACATGCTGTCAGTGATTTGGAATTGTGGTGCTCGCTGTCGAATATCTTGGGGCGCAGATGCTGACCAGGATGGCCCAGTGAGTGTTGCGTGTCTAACACGAGAGTTGTGGTCCCGTCATGCTATGGCTGATGGCTTGACCTGACGGCCCGGAGGTTGAGACACTCCATGGCGTGTCTAGCCTAGTGGGCAGTTCGCTCACATGGCTCGGAGAGTGTGGTCCCGTCATGCTATGGCTGATGGCTTGACCTGACGGCCCGGAGGTTGAGACCCTCCGTGGTGTGTCTGGAGCGGTAGGCTCGCCCTGGCGGCCCGGAGATTGAGACACTCCGAGGTGTGTTTAAACAGTGGGCTGGAGATTCGTAGTGTTCGGGTGTAGTTGTCCCGTTACGTTGGGACTATCCCTCAGTTGTTAGGGTGCATGTTGTGCAGTGAGTGAGCGATGGGTCTTCTCAGCTCGGTCGGTACAACTATATGCTGCGACGCGAGTCTTGGAGAGAGACTGGGTTATAATTCCCCCGATACGGCCGACGCATGCGCGTCGGAAAGGCGGGGGGTGCTACTGAGTGGCATGAAATGTCTGGGTTGGCCTTCAAGGGAGGGCTGCTAAGTTGTGCGAGCGCGGGAAACCACGCGTGGAGCCGCCTTTTTGTGCGAGCCCGGGAAACCGCAGAGATGCGGTTCACGCGTGGAGCCGCCATTTTGTACGAGCGCGTGAGGCCGCGGAGATGCGGATCACGGGTGCGGCCAAAATTTCGGTCAATTTTCACGCCGAAATATTTTCTTTAACTAAAATGCAGATCCTGGGGGCGTCCCTGAAGCGCGACTTCTTCACCCCGGGACATGGGTTGGCTCTGACGCATGACGTCTCGACCCGGGATGTCGGAAGACGTCCGCATTGCGGTGTGGGGGTGCGTGAGCGCTGGGTACTTCGTTTATCCTCGCTCTTATCACCACCTAGTGGATGGAACGGCAGCTGGGGGTTGGGGAACCCTGTCATCCGTGTTGTGTGGGTGAAGGTGTACATATTGGGTTTCGTCGCCATGTTTGTTGTGCAACCAACGCGTTTGAATTTGTTGTTATTATTTTTTTTCTCTTCTCTCGCGCCGGCCGGAATCCCCTCATCTCCACTACCCAGGGGCCGGGTGACTGTCGTGTCCGACGAGCCGAGGCGAGTGTTCGTGGAGTGATGCCTCAGGAGGGTTTGTGTTTCTCGTCACAGGGGGCAGTATCTACCTGGCACCTTGGAGTCGCCGGTTGTGCCGACCGGCTGTGGACTGGGGGGGGAGGTAGTAGAGCATGCGTCAGCTACTCCTGCTCCTCCTGTTCTTGACTCCTACGGAGGGGCCGTGTCCTTTGGGCCGCTTCTGGTTCCCCTGGAGGGCCTGGCCACATGGACTTGTGGAAGACTGGCTGCTCTTCACGCCTTGCTCATTGCCTATGCCGTCGTTCCGATGGCCACACTCACATGTCAGTGCATGCGTGGTTCTCACACGGGGAGGCTGTGCTGGAGAGCAAGCGGGTTAGCCAGTTTTGTTAATTCCTCGTTTTCCATGCGTTCCCCCCCTTTAACCCTCGTCGATTCTGTGTATATTAGGTGATGTATTTGTTATTGCTCGCCAGTTATTTATTAATGTTACTGGTTCGGAGGCACACCTTTTCGATGTTTCACAGTTGTGTTACAGCTGGGACGGCTGTGTGTTTATACAGGGGAGGGTGATGTAGTGACATAGGACGTCACTACTGTATAGGCCCGTACGAGGACTGGGGGTGCCTGGGGGGGTCACGTAGTGGAGGACCCGGACCTTCCCAGAGGTGGGGGAAGGGAGGCGTGGCCTGGGCTGAGCGGGCCACGCCAGAGCGGTTATAAGGGGGGTGTGAAGGCAGAGCGGGGCTGTTCAACCCCGAAGTGAAGACGACATCGTCGCTCCTCAAGTCCCGGGTCATCGTCTGGGACCAGGCAGCCCGTTGCCTGCCTGGGCCATGCTGTATAGTGTTCCAGAGTGTTAGTGAGTTGAGGAAGGTGGTCACCACCTTATGTACAGTGTTATATTACTTACCATTCTAATAAATAGTGTTGCCTCCAAGCTGTGTGTGTGTGCACCTAATTCGAACTCACTACACTTGCATGTAGTCTGTAGATTTTATTTATTACTATGTAAAAATAGAAATACACAATGCATTAAGAAATAACGTACTCGCATTTAGTGTGTAAACATTTCGCAACTTTTTTCTTTCACGTAGTCCCCATATTTTGTTTAATAAACGATGATCTGTCTCAGTTCTTAGGTGCAATAAATTGCACAAACATGTCATATGCAGTGCTCTGCATTCAAAACATCCTGACGGTTGTTGCTAAATAGTGAATCCATACTTAAATGCATGTTGTACATTCAACTGCAATAACAGCAGCAGACGTGTGCTATACATTTAAATTTGCTTAGTAGTTGAGTATATATTTTATTGTCATCATGTGAAGTTCTGCTAAATTGCTTTTCACTGCCGTATGGAGCATGTATTATTGAAGATTATTGGATAAACAATAAGGCTAGAACCATATTAGTCCTCATGTGCAAGTGGCCTCACAAGGGACATTGTAAATTATGTGGTTTGAGTTGTATGCATATCTCCTGAGAGTTATTTGAGAGTTCTAGCTAGCATTCCATACAAATTATTCACACATTGTTAAAGGTCAATGTAAAATGCAACCTTTTTTTGCGGAATTCAATGTGAAGGGAAAATCGTCTGAATTGTATGAATACAAATTCAAGTTGGACATTTTTTGCTTTGAAACATAAATGTATAACACATGGTTAACAAAGGTATGTGGGGGAAAAACATCAAAATATTTGGTACTGCAGCTTTCGAGCTAATTTAAAGTCTTATTGAACGTTTTTTCCATATTAAGTGTGGTAATTTAAATGAAGTGTCTTGCCTTTGGAATCATGAATTTATAGTAACTATGAGAAAATGCAATTTATCTCCTAGATTTGCACTAGTGGAACATTGTAAGTGTTTCCAGAAATTCTTACTCACAGAGCTAATAGGAAATAAACCATGATTGGAATTTTAATGTTGTCATTATCAGCTTCAAGGGAACAGTTAACTCAGCAGAAGACCACCCCTAAAATCAAGGTTTACTATGCAGATTATGTCAGCTTTACAACATTTCCCAGTTTCACAACTACTATTGTTGAATTATTATTTTGGAATATCGATTATTGTGAAAAAATGGTTCCATATTTTGTACACTTACCCTCCCATGCCTCACTGGGTATCCACATTTGTTATACATTTATATTTAATAAAAGAGTTAATACCAGTAACAATTTTTTTTGTAAATGTTAAATCACTCTTCAACACATACCGGTGGGCTAAAGTAGTGAACTATTTTGTCTTTTGTAAAAGTGACACATTTTTTTACTGTTTGGCCGTGTGGGGTGGTGGAGGGTTACGACACATTTATAAATAACGCGATCTAACCCAAAAACGTTTATTATGAATACTGAGCCCGGTTGTTTTTTATGGTTGATTTTACTGCTTATAAAATATGCTGTGCATTACCTCACCATATGGCCCCTTAACAATACCAAAAGTAAAATACTATGTAACGCTTACTTGAAATCAGCAGATGGCGCATCATGACTTTGAAAGGATTTTCTTGGCGTTTATTCAAACAATGCAGCACAGTATTTAGTTATGAATAATAAGTCTTTGTAGAGAGGATTTAAACGGTAATTTAATCGGAGGATTACAATACAGGTCCAAGTTGTATCTCAACTTGTGTTTTGAGCGAAGTTGTGCTGGAGGAATGCTGGTAGAACCAGACATTTTTTACTCGTGATAATTTGCATAGTTAATACATGTTTTACTGTTATGTCATTGAACTTATTGAGATGGTGGCCTTCATTATTTTAAGTTATTTGTTCTCATTTTTCCCCAGTAGGGATTTAGCTTTTAATGAAGGGGTGAAAAAAAACTTTATCTGAAAAGGACTCCAGTGTTTTTGCCTGTACGTTAGTTCCTTAGATGTGCGTGAGTGATAGTGCTTTCAGCTGCTTAAGTGTGTTTAAAATTACTTCGTGGTATTTTTTTTCATGTGCAGATCAGAGGAGCGGCTCGGTGGCGTGAAAAGCACCGGTACTGCCGTTCAAGTGGAGCTCTCTTCAACCAGTGATGTGCAGGAACCCAATTCTGGATTGACCGACTTTACTGGAAAATATGACAGCCCTGGCGCAGACCAAAGTGTGAGAAAAACATTACTCTATTTGTTTAGCAGCACTTCCTGCCCACTGCCCTGAATGTCTTGTAATAAAACAACTGGAGTGAGGGGGTTATTTTTGGCAGAGCAGATATATGGTGGGGTGAAGTGGAGGTGGGATTTTTAGAGAATAACCCAAATGCGATTCCCAGTCATGGCTAACATCAATGGCGAGTGATATCTGAATGAGTCCGGGGCAACCCCGTTTGCCAACCCACACTGCCCAGTTTGGTCAAGTATGGTTAAACAACCCTCATGACCGACGTGGTGTGGGGAGGCCTTTGTCTATCAGTGCACTGGTAATGTGCTGTGAAGTAGAAAGATATGGTATGTGGAAAAGGCACATACAGCCTCCCCATTTATTTAACTAAAAACACCTATTTGGCATACTTCCAGATCATTAATTCTCTTGTCATGGATGGAAAAAAGAGCATACTTGAAATTAAAGTGCTTGAGGGTACTAACGTAGACACTCATGCACTGAATGTGCACATTGTAAAAGCTCCCGTTTCCGAATGTGAAAACAGTACAAGAACACGACATTGTTCATACTTGTCTGTGCAGAAACACCATTCTGAGCAAAAACTGCATTTTTAACCATTTGTGGTGATATAACAGAATTTTTCTTAAGCCACAATTTGGTATGTCAATTTTAATAATGAATTACAATACACACCAAACCAAGTTTCATTCGTCAAGCTTAGGCAACGATATACACAATCAGAACCATATGTTGCTGCTGTTAAGAATTATATACCCAAAGGAAAAGGCACACCAAGAAAAAAGATAAAGAACATTGAAACATTAACAGAGTTATACTTGTATGTATTTCAACATGCAGGAGCAGACAGAAAATGGGTCCAATGATTTAATATTGGATACACATTGCGTGGACAAAAGTGAAGAAGGTAAGTTATGCCTCAATGTCACGAGGGTTCACTGCAAGAAATAATGATTTATCACATCTTAAATGCTGTACTTATGCATGCTTCCCCCCCCCCTCCTTAGGCACAGAAGACCCAAATGTGACTCCACTAAATAACCCAGTAGTGGATGGTGAAAATGTAAGGCTGTTTTTTTTGTTTGGGAGTCATGTGTGTGTCGAGACAATCATAAGGCTGCCCCATGTCATCAACGGTCATGCCACTAATAATCAATACATGAAAAGGAACTTACTTTTTGTGCATTGATGTTAATAAAAAAAATGTGGAGTAATTTGCACATGTACATTGTACTTATAGGAGTGGAAAATGTAAATAAAGTGGATAAACCTTTGGTTGTAACCAATCCAAGTTACACCTGGCTTTCATTTTGAGTCTCCCGAGTTGCCGTTACTTGGTTATTGATGAGGAGAGGCATGTGGGAGCTGAAATCTCACAAGTAGATTGTATTCGCCTGATATACGACTTGTAATGAGTCTTGACAGTGACTACAGCCAGACAACAGGAAGGGTATAGTTTATTCTTGACTTTCTCTTCAGAATTATCTTGTAATGTGTAGTCAATATGAATGTTGCATATATACCATGTGATTAGTTTACTGTTATGTGGAAATAATTAACTCGTGGAATATAACACATTCCTCCGGAGGGAGCTGGTAGGAACGTTGGGTTGCTCGGTCAATGGCCAGGGTCAACGGCGGCGTGGTGTATTCCGCAAATATGCCCGACTGTGAGGGCGGGCATAAGCCGGCGTGAGTAGGTTAAACGTTGAGTTTTATAAGGGCACCACGGGGTGACCAGCCCCTTCCCACCCAGCCCCACCCCTCCCACCCCCCACCCAGCCCCACCCTCGCCACCCAGCCCCTCCCCACCCTCCCCAGCCCCTCCTCAGCCCCTTCCCACCCTCCCCTCCCCACCCAGCCCCTCCCCACTCTCGTCTCTCCATCCAGCCCAACCCCTCCCATTTTATCCAGGTGTCCGGATACACGTGGACAGACATCCACAGACATACATAATTAATCCCCTGCCTCCTGTGAATTAATCCCAGTTGGGCTTCCAGTCCACTACGTTTCCTACTAGTAATGCCCACTAGGAGCGCATTTGTTATATATCCGGGTGTCCGGATACACGTGGACAGACATCCACAGACATACACAATCTTCTGCCTCCTGTGATAATCCCGGTTGGGCTTCCAGTCCACTACGTTTCCTACCAGTAATGCCCACTAGGAGCGCATTTGTTATATATCTGGGTGTCCGGATATACGTGGACAGACATCCACAGACATCCACAATTAATCCCCTGCCTCCTGTGAATTCCGGTTGGGCTTCCAGTCCACTGTTTCCTACCAGTATAATTTTTTAAATATATGTATCCCCTTTTTATTTTGGGATTGTATAAACAAACCGATACCTTATTCTTAATTAAAACATTTTACTTGATGCTGTTAACATCACTTACCAATTAATTTAGAATTTACAACACAAATTGAAACCACAAAGCCATTAAACTTTTTTCTGTGCATTTGTATACAATTGCAGTGCTTGATATATGCATTTGTTCCCTGTATGAAGGCTTATGTAGAGAAATCTGAGCAGTCAATTCCAGCCAATGCCTCAACGTTGCCGTCTTCTGTCCAACAACCCATAGCACCCATATATTCTCAGCTTGCGTACCCGAAGGCAGTTCCATCTTGTAAGCGACCACAACTTATACATTTTAATTGCAATACGTTCAATTGCCAATACGTGGTTTCATAAAACTTGCCTCGCAAATTTGAATTATTGTTGGAAAATGATTTAATATTAGACTGGATAATCTTATAACTGGTTTTTACACTGAAATTGCAGGTGTCTATTTATTTCCGCCATGGAAGGCTGAATGCGTTAACGAGTTGGGGGAAGTTATGTCCAGTTCTCCACCATTTTCATTTGATCCCAGCGCAAGTGATCTCCCACAAGGTATACCTAACTCTACCATTGCCAAAAGCACTTCGAAGAGTATTGAGCCAAATTGGCATACTTAAAAAAATAGGACTCACGTTGAAGATATGTGCCGTTTAGACCAGCTGTTGTCAGATTAAAGCCTGCACGTTCCTCTGTGATTGCCAGATAAAGGAAATGGCTTGATCCTAAATTTCTCAAGAATTAAATATAACATTTCTAAAAGAAACGTGATAAATCTTGAATATGCATACAATTCATATTAGAAAAAAAAATTGAGGCTCAACTCCAAGACATTTAAATCTTATCCATTACGGATTTAAAAAGTATTTTAATTTAAAATGTGATATTTTTAAATGATCTATAGAATACATGTATTTAGTAATGTAACTATGTGTAAGTTTTTTCTAATCTTTTCTTTTTGTTGAATATAGATAAGAAAATACTGCAGTATTTTTTCAATCGCGGTCTACAGGTAAGTAAAAATATGCATTTAGAAAGTAAATCTCATTATTACAAAGTATTCACAACATGATTTAAATTGCACATCAGTGCTTGAGAAGAAATAATGATGCCCTACTTCAGTTACACAACAGTGGTCATTAGTAGTGACTGTTTATAGGCAGAGGAGTCGCCCTTTATAAATCTTGGCTTAGAAAACTGTTCCTAAACCTGAACGCACTGCATAAATAATAAAAACTTGTTTGAAGCTATACAAAATTACATATTTAGTTTAACTTTAATATTTGTACAGATTGAAGCAGATAGTGTACATTTTGATCAAATAAGCTACTTTAAAATGTGTTTTTATGGGTTTGTGACTGCCATTGTAGAGTTGGTGGCACGAGAGGGCATATGCCCAAAACTGCTTGGAGTCGGGGTCTGGCCATGAAGCATCCCTGTACCAAGAGGCCCTCAAACCTCACTTGGACACAGCCACAAGTCCAAATCCACCTACCTTGCAACTCCAGACCCAGCCTCTGGGGGCTCAAACAGCAGGTACAATATCCTCAGCAACTGCTTTGGAACATTTTATTGGTTTGAATGTAAACAAACACACGAGTGGTGAATGTGCACATATCCGTATTGATGTTAACAACTTTATACGTTTTTTTTTAAGAGGCCTTCATCCAGCAGTGGGATTAATCATGGCTGATAATGCACAACAAAATATGTAACGAGACCCCGATAGTCCATCATAGAATTATTCCTAATACACATGAGAGAATGACAGCATTGAAATGGAAATGTTCAAGTATATTTTTTTAAATCAATGGCTAGATTAAAATTACATTTTCAAGTTTGACATTGTTACAGTGAGGGAAAAAAGTATTTGATCCCCTGCTGATTTTGTACGTTTGCCCACTGACATGACCAGTCTATAATTTTAATGGTAGGTTTATTTGAACAGTGAGAGACAGAATAACAACAAAAAATCCAGAAAAACGCATGTCAAAAATGTTATAAATTGATTTGCATTTTAATGAGGAAAATAAGTATTTGACCCCCTCTCAATCAGAAAGATTTCTGGCTCCCAGGTGTCTTTTATACAGGTAACGAGCTGAGATTAGGAGCATACTCTTAAAGGGAGTGCTCCTAATCGCAGCTTGTTACCTGTATAAAAGACACCTGTCCACAGAATCAATCAATCAGATTCCAAACTCTCCACCAAGGCTAAGACCACAGAGCTCTCCAAGGATGTCGGGGACAAGATTGTAGACCTACACAAGGCTGGAATGGGCTACAAGACCATTGCCAAGCAGCTTGGTGAGAAGGTGACAACAGTTGGTGCGATTATTCGCAAATGTAAGAACCACAAAAGAACTGTCAATCTCCCTCGGCCTGGGGCTCTATGCAAGATCTCACCTCGTGGAGTTGCAATGATCATGAGAACGGTGAGGAATCAGCCCAGAACTACACGGGAGGATCTTGTCAATGATCTCAAGGCAGCTGGGACCATCGTCACCAAGAAAACTATTGGTAACACACTACGTCGTGAAGGACTGAAATCCTGCAGCGCCCGCAAGGTCCCCCTGCTCAAGAAAGCACATACATGCCTGTCTGAAGTTTGCCAATGAACATCTGAATGATTCAGAGGACAACTGGGTGAAAGTGTTGTGGTCAGATGAGACCAAAATGGAGCTCTTTGGCATCAACTCAACTCGCCGTGTTTGGAGGAGGAGGAATGCTGCCTATGACCCCAAGAACACCATCCCCACCGTCAAACATGGAGGTGGAAACATTATGCTTTGGGGGTGTTTTTCTGCTAAGGGGACAGGACAACTTCACCGCATCAAAGGGACAATGGACGGGGCCATGTACCGTCAAATCTTGGGTGAGAACCTCCTTCCCTCAGCCAGGGCATTGAAAATGGGTCGTGGATGGGTATTCCAGCATGACAATGACCTAAAACACACTGCCAAGGCAACAAAGGAGTGGCTCAAGAAGCACATTAAGGTCCTGGAGTGGCCTAGCCAGTCTCCAGACCTTAGTCCTATAGAAAATGTGGGAGCTGAAAGTTCGAGTTGCCAAACGTCAGCCTTGAAACCTTAATGACTTGGAGAATATATGTAAAGAGGGGGACAAAATCCCTCCTGAGATGTGTGCAAACCTGGTGGCCAACTACAAGAAACGTCTGACCTCTGATTGCCAACAAGGGTTTTGCCACCACATACTAAGTCATGTTTTGCAGAGGGGTCAAATATTTATTTCCCTCATTAAAATGCAAATCAATTTATAACATTTTTGACATGCGTTTTTCTGGATTTTGTTGTTGTTATTCTGTCTCTCACTGTTCAAATAAACCTAACATGAAAATTAAAGACTCATAATTTGTCAGTGGGCAAACGTACAAAATCAGCAGGGGATCAAATACTTTTTTCCCTCACTGTACGTACCTTATACAGGCGTGTCTATGTAAGAAACCTTGACTTTTTTAACTTTTCATTTTTTCCACAGCACCTTACCATCATGCTTACACCTCTATCAACCCAGGTGGCCCACAGCCAATATTTGTCCAACCCATGCCACAACATCAGCTGCCATACTCCCATGCGCCCACCATGGCCCACCATACACCATGGCAAAGGGGGCTGTTGCAATGGAAACCCAGAATGCTTTGACGTTGTGAGTTCTCTGATACATCCGATTATCTGTAGCCTGCTACCCAGAAATTAGGGTTCTGAAGGGTTGCTAATCCCTTCTTAGTCATAGAGGGGTATAGGCTTTGTTTTGGTTCAATTGAACTGGGTCCAAACCATTTACCTTGAGCCAGCTCTGAGCATGGTCCTAGCTATGCTTAGGATTTCTATGAGCTGCGCTTGAGCTAAGTAATTCCAATCAAAAATGTTACATTTAACTAACTTGCTTTGACTGTAAACATTACTGAAGCTATATTACAAATGTTGTGAAACTTAATGCTTCATGTAAACGTGTGGTTATGCAGTAGTGTGGAAAGTTCGTTAACTAATTAGCTAAATGTTGTCATTTTTCATTGACATTGAGTTCTGCTCCGGTACGTTAAGATAGGTATGCCTCTAATCTGCTACTCATAATTTAGAAATATTTCAGACTTGACTCACAAATACAGTGAATCCCATACACACTTAGGCTCAGTCACGGCTCCGCTCAAATTAACCGCTTAAAAGCCATACTTGCACGCTGGCTCAGAACACAATTCCAGCCATGCTCAGGATTCATAATACGTTTTTTGGTTAGATCGTGTAAATGTCATTAAACCCGCCACCACCCAACACAGCCAATTAGTAAGGTTTGTCACAAACAAAACATGCCAATTCGTTACTAATACAGCACACCGGTGTGGTGTGTGTTTACTCTCCACATCAGTGTGCTGTACTAGTAACGAATTGGCACGTTTTATTTACGTGACAAACGTTACAAATTCGCTGTCGGGTGCTGGTGGGCTTAACGACATTTGTGATCTAACCCAAAAAACCTCTTATGGATATTGGTTGCAAAAGCCTGTGTTAAATGCTCAGGATTTTTGGAAGATTAACAAAGCCATGCCTGAACCACTTGCATGTCTGTGGAACAGTGGCCCAAGTTGGAAGGGAGCTGTAAAACTTGGAATATGGCCCTTGCAGTACATTTACTAACCTGTAAAAACACGATTTGCATTTTTTTAAGATTAAAGAAATGTTGATAAATGATTGTAGAAACTAAAGGAAGCTATATTTGAAAATGTTAATGACACTTAATTTTTCTTGATGTCAACATTCCTTTTATACAGTAGTTTAAAAAATTCAGTTACACTTAATGAAAACATTTTCATGTTATGCATTATTGACATTTACCTGTGGTTTTCTTTGTGCAGTAGAAGCTAAGCTAGAACCTTTTAAAAAAAGTGCACAATAAATGCAAGTTCCTTTCATGATGCCCCTTGGCTCCTTTATTTGTCATCCAAGCATACAAGAAGACCCCTACCAAAATCTGTTGAATGATCTTGTTACAATACCTGTCTTTACATTGCACCTTTGAGTTACTGTTGGCTGTAATGTTTTAACAGTTCTGAACATAAATCTAAATAGGCATCTTGGTAAATTTAGGCAATGGGCAAAGAAATACAACTATGGACTTGTGAACATTGTGAAATAGCTGTGAATTAAAGCATCCTTACACGAACCCATAAGTGACTTTTCAAATTAAATTTAATTCCAAATATTTTTGCAGTAGTTAACTTATTATTTCAGTTTATTAACATAAATCAAAATATGATAAAAATTCAAATAAAAGAAGCAACTTTAGTTTCCAAAATAGATGCACAAGTCCAATCTATAATTTCTCTTGAATAAAATGAGTTGCTCAAAGGTTGTCCCATTGCAAGAACTGCACAACAGTTCAGTCTTCTAGGAAAAAGTAGTTGCCACTCTTTTTCTGCTCAGTGTCCTGTAAAAAAGAGCAAAGCATAGGATCCAGTTACAGCATTCAAGATGCTATGATATTAATCCCATTTAATAGTATTCCCTTGTTATTTTGCAAGGTATACATTCCGGAGATGCTTGTAAACAGCAACTTGTGCGGATAATGATATTGGCCACATTAATTACCTTAAATAACGACAAATAAGTTATTACATATATGAAAATTACCATAGGACAAACATACATTGGTTATAATAAAAAAAGTAAATACAAATAAATATTAAAGTTTTAAATAGTTTCTAAACGAACTTACCTTAAATTATCATGATGCTGCACAGTAGCATAACTTTATCTCACTTTCGATTCAGTAGTGTAGAGTTCAAGATGCGATTCGCAGAGAGCCAAAATCGCGGATAGCAAGTTCGTGAATAACGACGGAATACTGTACAGTAAAACTAAAAATTTACAGCAATGGTATGTATGAGCTTTCTACCTTGATGGAATTCAGCTTGTTGATCCTTGGACGGAAGTTGTTGGGATCTCTTCTGAATGTGATCTCCAATGATGCCAGAAATTTGTTCATTCCAGCGAGCAGGTTTTGGGGGCTGAAAGACAATACCCGCACCACACATCCATACATATAGCAATTACAGTAACATTTCTTGAATCCTAAGCAATTTTCAAAATTAACCATGATCAATCCACTGCCAGATGAAGGCCAATCCAAGCTGTCACCAGCCATCGGTCTTCTAATGCAACAATATATTTAAAATTGCTTCATTCCATTGTGTTAGATGCATTGAATAAATTTTAAAGTAGCTAAGCAGACTTCTTTAGTATACCTGATGACCAAATTTCACATTTTTAAAAGTCCCATTTTCTAATTCATTACCATCTTCAGTTATAAAAAAAAGCAACCTTCAAATGGCAACATTTATATATCAGAGCATTTAAATGGCAATATATTATTTAAATGACTGACCTTTGCCAATGCAATGTGCAGGGTTGCGGGGTGGAGTTGTTTAGACTTACGTGTTTGCTATGGTGTTCACCGAGGGTACCCCTTCAAACACGATAACCCGGTCAGCCAGGTAGGTGGCCATGATGAAGTCATGCTCCACCACAAAGGCAGTCTTCTTGGCATGCAGGATGAATCTGTGTGACACATGGCATTGCAGATTGTTTTTATGGATTGGCTCAATGGTCATAACTTGACTCTGGCAGAACATTACCCAAGCTGTGGAGTGAAAATAACAACTCTGGCTACGTGGCAGTATTTAAAATTAATACATGATTCAAGAAAGCCAATGCATTATTTTCAAGTATACCCTTTTCTGTTTTTGTATTGACAAACATTTAACTTAAAAAAAATAATATCAGATATACACTGCTTTATTGATCTATTGTATATTCCAATAAAATATTAATTTTTTTGCCAAATTATGGTACTATACTGTGGCTATTAAAAGGAATGTAGAAAAAAATCAATGTATTGCAGAGAATTAGCCAGAATCTAGCTTATTAGCCATACATTGTCAAAACACATTTCGAAGTAGTCTATACTTTCCTAACCTTTGGACTCATTTTCTTTGGAAAAGGCCTTATTGATTATATGAATACTTCATATTTCACAAAGGAAATTACATTAATGCAGTGTAAACCACTGCAACACAGTGAAAGCATGCCCTAGAATGAATGATTTAATTATACTTCACACAAACAAATTCTGGCTAGATTCCTTGTTGGATTCTTGCCTGCCGAGTGCGTGAAAGAGTGTGGATGTGCGGTGGTGATGTCACCATGCAGATCTGCGTTATGACGTCACATGGATCCCACAGCGTTGAGCCAGGCTCGTACGTGCTGTCGTCACGCCTCCCCCACCCACCCACCCTCGATCCCGGCCGTGTATGCCGCACAAATGTGATATGAGGGGGGAGGGAAAGAGGGAGATAAAGGAGGAAGGAAGAGACAGGAGGGGAGGGAGTCAATGGATGTGAAACGGAAAGGAAAGCAAAACGGAGAGAGGAGAGTGAGGGAAAGTGACAAGCAGTGAGGGGATTAGGGAGAGGCAAGCGAGATTGAGATGGCAAAAGGAGAGGGTGAGTGGTGAGAGAAACAGGAAGAGCGGGGGAGGGAAGTGAGTGAGATACAGTGGAGGGAGGAGATGAATAGTGGGAGAGGAAGCAGATGGGAAAGACAAACGAGAGACAAAGGTGAGATAAATTGGTATAGATGGTAGAGAAGGCTATGGAAAGGTATAGAGACGGCTCTATAATACTATATTATTTAAAAAAGTTTGGTTGGCTGGATGAATGTTGTACACTGCTCACCGCTTGATAACCTTGGCTGCCACAAGACGCTGCTCCGAGTCAAGGTAGGCAGAGGGCTCGTCTATGAGGTAGACGTCAGCGGGCTTGCCCAGGCACAGCGCCAGCGCGACGCGCTGCAGCTCACCACCAGACAGGTTCTGCACCTGTAAGGTCCAAGCATATGTGCAGCACCACCACATCCCGTTTACAATATCCTGCTGCTGCACAACTGCACTTTACTCCTTCAACCAGAGAGAGGACAATATCTACACACCCATCACTGTTACACCAAAGAATGTAATAGGTATAAGGTGCATCCCTACAAGATGTCAAGTTGCTGACAATGCAATTCAATATTCAGTTAACTAAAAATATTTGTCCCCATCACCCCTGAAGCTGTTCAACCTAGGCGACTATTTTAAATGGGGGTAAAGTATCTGGATATCTCATGGAGGTATTCATATTTAAGACATGATTTTACCTTTCACCCCTTAATGAAAATCATGGACAACGATCCTGATTTGTCTTTGTTGTGAAGTAAATGTAAATTAAGATTCCTAGTTGCTTTTATTACATTTTGCCAGCTGTTCAGCTTACCCAATGTGGAGTCTAGAATTGTTTACTTGAAAAATGATACTTTTTTTTTAATAGTAATGCATAATACATTGTGACTGGATTGTTGGTAAACACTTTTGTTCATTCAGTGTGAGGCTCCCACCTCCTGGTCAATGATGCTCTCGATCTGCAGAGGCTTCATGACATCAGTGCAGAACTGCGGGTGCATGTACGAATTGCGGATCTTTTCATGCAACAGTTGTCGCACAGTTCCCTGTGGAGCAAACACGCTTAAATATAACAACCACATTCTACAACTGGCCAAGTGAATTTATCAAACATTTTGGCATTCGCTCAAGCTTTAAGTCATTCTGCTCTTAGCTTAAGTACTCCTATTCGAATATTATCGTGTAAATGTTAATTTTGATTCTACAAATTAACATGTAATTATTTTAACATGCAAACGTTAACTTACCGTTGCTTTGGGACTGATTTTCTGAGGTTTGTAGCTGACATTCAGAAATGGGACTTCACCTGAAAGAACACCACCACAAATATTTCGTTGCAAAATATTTTAAAGCAAAATAACAAAGCAGTCATATTCTCTCTAGAGGCATAATAAATGGCTTGGCAATCGCACCTCCATCATCTGGCTTTAGTCTTCCAGCCAGCATCCTGATGAATGTCGTTTTTCCAGTACCTAGAAGAAAAAAAACATTCCAGAGTTCAATGGAAATGCAAAGCATGTTATTTATAAGCATGTCAGGATACTTCTATGATCAAAATATTCCCCCTTTTGCACCGACATTCCTTGGACCTGCCTTTTAAAAGATAACCAAGCTGCATTATTAGAGCGGTTTAATGTGCATCTGTGCAGAACTTTGATAATCGACTCTCGGGGGTTAATTGTGAGGTCATGCGTCTATGAATGTTTTACCGTTCTCCCCGAGCATGACCATGATTTCTGAGTCGGTGAACTCCCCGGCTTGGATCTCCATGACGAAGTCTCCGAGGCATTTCTTCATGCCAGGGTACTGGTAGCAGCACATCCTCTTGATGTCATCCTCTGCCGCCGTCTCCGCCACTTTGAACACCAGCGCCATGTCACGGAATCGCAAGTTCTCCGTCGGCACATACCCGTCCAGGAAGATGTTGATGCCTGCGACATCGTAAGGATCACAAGCATGCATTGACTGCAGCCTCCCACAAGCTGTGAATGGTGACATCTCTGCTGTTTGTGTCCATCCACTATGGCATGAACTCATTTCTTTAGAACTGCTTTTCGTGTTTAGTTTTTTGTCTTTTCCCCGCACCTCCGATTAGCAGTTGGCTACATACGGTGCAAAAGAAGTTCAACGTACATACATGAAGACTTCCCCACACGATGCCGATCATTGGGATCGCTTGACCATACTTTATTGAGCTGGTCAGTGCGGGTTGATGAAATGGAGGACCAAGGACCAGTTTAGATATTGCTGGTATGCTGTTATAAGTTAGCTTTTCAAGATTAAATTATGAATGTTATTCATAATAAGCAATTAAAGTTCTGTACCATATTTATTTCCCAATATATAGTAAAACTCCAGCTCAGATTCTTTTAAAGGCATAATGATGAAAGGCAAAGCCTTTGACTTCACAGAAAACACACGTATTCAGTAGAATGCAGTACGTGGTAGTGCTAGTTTATTGTATTGATAAATAAAAGCACACAGTAAAACTTCTTTATTTCGGTATTTCATTATTTGTAATTGGTGATAATTCGGTACGGCTGCACTTGTGGCATATATACAGTTTTAGTAATTCGCCAGGAGCCGAATTGCCATGCCGAATTGTCCAATTTCGGCATACACGTGGAGCGATGGCGTACGCCACGACCTAAACAGTGGCGGCGCGCGTGGTGACCATTGCAGACCTGTTGCTTTGGACTTCACCTTGTTTATGCACTGTCAAAGCCAACCCTCTCAGAAATGTCATCTACACCTACATCAAGAAGTAATAGAAAGGGACTGAAGTATAGGTCCCTTATATTCTTTGGGTCTTTCGGTAAAGTCACGTAGTTTTTTTCCCTCCCGATGACGATCGCTTGTGTTGTGATCTAAACGTAGTTTTTATTTATTTTCTTTCAACCTATCTACGTGACTTTATCGAAAGACCCAAAGAATATGAATTCCTGCAGTGACGAAAGCTTTAAGTCAAGATTTATAAGTCCCTTAGTCTGCCAGACAAATCCAACGTTTTGGATAGAATCGATGCAGGTGGGAGGTTCAATTAATCACTAAATTCATTATTTTGACACGCGTATCAAATTGTTCATCAGAACTATCTGCAGTTTATAGTTGTATGAAAAAAATATATGCCAGTGTTGTATTTAGGATAATGGAGCAGAACAAAATTGTACAAGAAAAATTAAGCAATACAAATGAGTTGGCAAGATAATAAGATTTTTGACTCAAACTAAAATGCTGGGAAGTTGAATCATTACATGATCGATACGTATTGCTGATGACCACTAACCACATTTTGGTCTAAAGCAGGTATCCCCAACAGAGTTGTTGTGTACGTCAATTTGACCACGTGATCATTGCTGTCGTACCTTCTCTTACGCTGAAGGGCATAGTGACGACACCATATGCTCCGGGCACACCGTAGAGGCAGCAGATGTAGTCCGACAGGTAGTCGCACACACTCAGGTCGTGCTCCACAACGATGATGAACCTGCAATAGTAAAGGTCCCTTTACGATATATATGAATCTTTTCCCCAAGTTTATCCCTATTGTGATATCGGAAACATGTTACAAGGTGAAGTATGCTTTCAGATTGATCTCCGGCCCACATAACAGAAGGTGGAACTTTCCCACCCATAGCCAGTTTATTTTCTTGCATGACAGATGAACCAATATTTTTAATTGTCAGAGCTGGAATGTACCCAAATTACAGAACCAAATTTAATGCGGTTAAAATGTTGCGTGTTTTTTGTGCAGTTATTGGTGACAGGGCTATGACCACCAACTCACTAACCTGGAGAATCTGGTTTAATCACAGGCGGCGACCTGGATTCGTACTCAGAATCTCAACGGTGCCGCCAGCTCAGCGTTCTGACCTCTGAGCCATGTCGCTTCCACCTCGTGCGTTGGTTTTAAAGGTTTCTCTGCAGCAGTTATGAGGCAGACTCTTTCAGAAAAGATGCAACATTGAAGCTACTTCTCACCTGTCAGGACCAAGCAGCGAGCGGATGGTGATGGCACATTTTAGCCTTTGCTTGACATCCAAGTAGCTGGAAGGCTCATCAAACATGTACCTAGAAATAATAAATCCACAATTAAAATAAGATGTACTGTGCCAACATTTTTACCAATGAAATAAATGCTGACTTACATGATATGCTGCCAGGCTGACTCATTTATTGCAACAATGGTGTAAAAAAAGGTTATCGTTTCAGCATTTTACAGCTCAGATACACATTAGTGTATCTGAGCTGTACAATGGTCACATTCTTAAGTGTCATCAATACATCATAATTGATACCTTGGTTTAAAATTATTTAAGTCTCGAAGTCCTATTGCATTGCTGCAGATCAAAAACATATTGAGCAACTCTTTACAGGAAAAATGTGATAATTGTACTGTAACATGGCAACTGGTGTGATACATTAATGCTTACACGTCAGCCTTTTGTATACAGACGACAGCACAGGCAAATCTCTGCAGCTCGCCACCAGAAAGGTCTTCGACGTTTCTCTCTTTTAAGTGACTCAAGTCTGTAAAATGCAAGCAAATGCACCGTTAAATTCCATACTTGCCATTAAGGAAAATGTTAAACACAAGCAATGTACTTTATTGTACAACAAATAATTGCGCTCCACGTGGTTGAGAGCAGTCTAGTAAAATCCATAGCTGTAACGTACTTATTCTATGCTCCAAAAGTCTATGTCATTCAACCTGCACAGACCAGCATGTACTATGTCAAAATAACCCCCCCAGCCTGCAGAGGGTGGGGAGGCCCTCGTCCAGCAGTGTATTGACAACGTGTAGTACATGTACATACACAAATAGAGTCCATGTTTAACGTTCATTTCTTAAACCCAAACAATGTTTTATGAGATCTTACCCAAACGGTCACAGATGTCTTCCTGAGTTCGTGTTTCATCTTTCCTGTCGAGGATTACACCAACTGTTCCCTGAGAGTAAAAAAGAAAAAAATCCCATTACAAAACAGTTTCCTTCATAAACCTTTAGACACTTAACAGGATGGATAAAAACGAGCTGAATTAATGTCATATTTTTAAGACAACACTCTGCTCACCTTGACGGCCTTGGGGATCTGATCCACATACTGGGGCTTGATAATGGCCTTCAGATCATCTTCAAGAATCTTTGTGAAGTAGTTCTGTAGCTCTGAACCACGGAAGTAAGTCAAGATCTCCTGCCAGTCAGGAGGGTCCTGGAGAAGAAACAATTCAATAGGCTCAGGTCAGGTCACTTTCCCCCAATATCCATTAAGGCAAATTTTACGTTTGGCGTTTCTAGATTGAAGGCATTGCCCATCCAAACAATGTCACACCACTGTTGGATGAAGGCCTCCCTATGTGGTGGGGTTGTTTGATCATGCCTCAACAAGTTGGTAAGTGTGAGTTGGTGTACAGAAGATCAGTGGAGAAGTCACTTGCCACTGATGGTATTGATGGCCATGAATCAAATTCAGGTTGTTTGAATAGCGTATTCTGCTACCCATGCGCCACCAATGCACAAAATAATACCTCTACTTGCCTTTACTTTACCCAGAATTTCCTGTATGCATCCAGAATAAAACATTGTGCACTGCTAGTAACTAGACTGAGCAATTTCTAGCAGCGAAGTAAAGATTGGGTGATCTCAAATTTTTCAAGTAATATGTTGCTAAGCTTCCATAGTGCAATGTGATAACCATTCCACAATTGCTTCCTCTTACAAATCTTTTGTTGCAATATTAACGGCAGCTTAACAACTGTGCTCTGGTACTGTCAGAGAACCCTTACATTGAAACGACCCAGGTTTGGTTTCTGTTTCCCAGCCAGTATTTTCAATGCAGTTGACTTCCCAATTCCATTGGTGCCTACTAAACCCAGAACTTCTCCAGGTCGAGGGATAGGCAGTCTGTAAGGGAAGAAAAGGGCAGTGTGGTTATTTCAATGTAATTATTAGAACAATGAAAGTTATAGATGCTTGAAGAGCTAAGATAAGTATATTCACCTGTGCAACTTAAATGAATTTGCACTGTATCTGTGTGTGGTGTCCTTTTCAAGATTGCTGGGAAGGTTGATGATGGAGATGGCATCGAATGGGCATTTCTGGTTCAGGAAACAAAAGTTTGAATTAACAAAAATAGGGTAAACATTGAGGGGAAAAAAATAGCAACAAAGCATCAGTATAATCAGATTAAATTAAAGGATACATTACAATGTAAACGTTTCTCATTACAATTTATATTTTTGAAGTATCCAAATGCTTCTGCAGCTCAAGAAACTGTAAAAAAGGAGGACAGTCCATTGAACGGACTTGGACGAGGGATTTTTGTCAAAGAGAAGGTAGGTTTATGGCAACTTGTATTTGAGTAGCAATACAAGTTACGCCCTTGTAAATGAGATGTTTTATTGTAAAACATTTTCCAGGTTAAATCATTACTTTAAAAACATATTTAAAGAAACAAAGCAGTCAATGCAACAGGTGTTTTGCCATGTTTAAATAAAAAAAAACTAGTGAGAATTGGGTTTAAAAACAAATAACTTCTGAAATATGTAAAAGAACGTTTACAAAAGTAATTTACAGCATTATTGTTAATCAATTTCTGGGTGAAGCCTTCCTCTATGCTATTCCAGTTCTGGGGGCTTTTTGACAATACTTCACCATACTGGTCAGTGTGAGTGGATGAAGGGGCCAGTTCAGATATCACTCACCAATGATGGTACATTCAAACGTTTAATGTATAGAGCTCTAACTACTGTACAGCCCCTGTCCCAAAGAGCTGGTACAAGCCTTTAAAAAATATACGTGTTATTGCAGAAACCGGGCAATTTAGAACTAAGTACTTTTAAAACGTAATGTACCTTAACACAGATGCCACAACCGATGCAAAGCTCTTCAGAAATCCACGCAATCTTAGACTGGGCAACCACCTCGATGCAGAGTTTGCCTGGATCAAAACGCACATCATGTAGTTCACATCCAAAGCTTGCAGAAAAAAAAGTAGAAGACATGCACATTTCACCTCGCAACTATCCAGCAATGTAATTACCAATTAATCGTAATTTTACAATGCATTCTTACAACTTACCCATTCTTACAACGGGACATGTTTTCTTGCACTCTTGTCTGCATTTCTTGGGCTTGCATTTGTCACTGCTGACAATGGCAATTCTGGTGAGCTTGTCAGCCATGACTGAAAATATATAAGCACAAAATATCCTGTTAAATGAATATAATGTACCATGTATGTTTTTCTTGGCTTGACACAAATTATTTGTGGAAGCCATACTCTTAACTTTCTGACCTGCCCCGAATGGACGTGTGAAAAATGAGCTTCATGGCTCATTGGATTCCTCAAGTATAAAAAAATATATTCTGAAAATTGTGCCTTAAAACTTGGCAGTTAAAGCCTAAATGAGTTTCAACAAATTTTTATGAGCCCTCATTAAAGGTGCTCGGCCAGTGTTTTAATTATGCTGCCTAATTTAACGAATACAGGTGAAATTATGTAGATGACAATTACGGCTCCTACGTCCTCGCATAATACAACAGCAGATTAAGTCTAACACGTAGGCTTTCGCGACCAATATTATCTATAATAGAGGTTTACGCGAGCTAACCCAAAAAACCCCTCTTACAGATTAAGAGGACTATATGAAGGTCAGTCATGATAAAGTGCTAAAGCACAAGAGGATCAGTTTTATATTGATCATATCTAAAACACAAAGACAAGACTAATAGTACCGTAGTACTACGTGTAGCTTACATATGGACTTAAACCACAACGCAATGACCCGCAAATTAGTGAAATAGCACCCCCAAAACCCTCACGGCGTGGGAAGGCCTCATCCAGCAGTGGATTGAACAATGGGCTTTTATGAGCACTCCACAAAATGTCCACATACAGGATCAGAACATATCAGATGCACCTTCATTATAAGAGTGCAATTGATAACTACGGCACTATTTGATTAAAATCGCGCTTACAAAAAAATATTTCAACTGATTCTTGTTCAGCGTTAAGTTTTATAGCTTTCATTGAATTGTTAATTCATACCAACTCAGCTGTTCCCCCAACGTATTGCAACACAACTGCTTTGTATTTCAACGTGGCCGAAATACAACACCGAATTCACGTTCTATTTCAACAATCTATTTTCCATATAGCGGCCAACGCGCCCTAATGTCTAAATCAAACATTCAGTCAATTATTAATCCATAGTTTATCTACTGCTGGATTAAGAACGTCTTCCCAATCTCGCCATCTCCAGCGATCCATCCTGCGATGTTAACGATACACCACCAATAAGCACTCTCACACATCACGAACTAACTTCATCGCCCCATCTGTAGTTTAGCCAACCCTTAAATTGTCACGATTTCGTAATTAAACGTAATCGTAGCGGGGTTGACGCGAGAACCCTACTCCTTCGCCTAGCTGTCTCCGCCGCCACCCACGCAGCCAAACCCGGCATCCAAACTCTACGAGTCCGTAGGCTTCCAGTGGGCAGGCCCGAGCCGGCGTGGACAGCGACGCTAGGCCGCGGCGACTCCAGCCGCGTGAACGCCGAGGTGGCGTCTCGCGTGCCCCGGGGGTCACCGACAAAACCTCCTGCCAAGTTCTGCGTTAAATCGCAGAACGAGGGCAACCTCACCTCGCCTCCCCTTTTTTCACTTTAATTGCCTGAAATGTGAGGACGGTGCCGAGACAGGCCAGGCGGGGCGGACGCCGCCATATGGTGGCGCCACGGGAAAGAAGGGCCGACTCGCACGAGCCGGATGTGACGTAGGGGCGCGGTGTTGGGTGTGGTGGGGGGGTGTTGGGGCCCTTTGACTCGCCTCGGCTCTTACCCGCTCACATTTGCAATGCCGGAGAGGTGCCGTGGGTTACTCGGGGACAGGGGTTCATTGTGGTGGTGGTGGTGGCTATGTAGGCTCCATGGGTTTCTCGGGGACAGGGTTTATTGTGGTGGCGGTGGCTATGTAAACTCTATGGGTTTCTCGGGGACAGGGTTGTGCTGGTTGTTGGTGGTGGTGGCTATGTAATCTCCATGGGTTTCTCGGGGACAGGGTTAGTTGTGGTGGTGGCTATGTAAACTCTATGGGTTTCTCGGGGACAGGGTTGTGCTGGTTGTTGGTGGTGGTGGCTATGTAATCTCCATGGGTTTCTCGGGGACAGGGTTGGTTGTGGTGGTTGTTGGTGGTGGTGGCTATGTAGGCTCCATGGGTTTCTCGGGGACAGGGTTAATTGTGGTGGTGGTGGCTATGTAGGCTCCATGGGTTTCTCGGGGACGGTTTATTGTGGTGGTGGTAGCAATGGAGGCTCCGTGTATTTTCTGCCCACTCTGTCACTGCCCCTCATAGTCCTGCAAAGCCACAGTCTCACTTCGACATATGACCTGATCTCATTGCTCCAAAATGCGTGCAACAATTTTGATCCATTTGTTTACTGAGGTGATGATACAATTAAAATATATTGTTCCTGTACTTAAACACAATACTGCTTTATGGATCGCCAGTTTTACCAATACGTCCCACCATTTATATCTCCAGTAGGCTTTTACATTCTATTATTCCTGGCAGGCACTTGCATATCTGGTTTGGGTATAGAGTATGGTAATTGCAGTACTGTATTCCAAAGATCCATCTCAATTGTGGAAAGTGCACTTTTCAGCTTTGCACAGGTTGAGATAGGGATTTATGCAACATCTAGATGTAGCATCGTGAACCTGAATGAGTGTCAATCGACAAGGCCAGGTTTTATATTAAAGTCAAGCTTTGATGTCAGATTTATGTATCAAAACAGCTGATGCTATGTAATAAATGGAGGTCTTATCTTCAGATTATACGATATGAGAACAGCCAAATGTACATCAGTCACAAATTCATAATGAAGAATAATATTTGATGTGGTTGTACCTCTATACCATCTCATGGCACACCATCATATACTCGAATGAAACATGACTGATCACTGGACAACATATATACTTTCGTGGTTTTGACTGTTGGTGTGATATAGTTAAGAATTTGTGACATTTAAATGTGCATTTACTTTCCACTTAGCATGCAGCTAAGACAATTTACACTCATACATTGAATGTACTGCCGTTGTCTGATAACCACTTTCAAAACCTTAAAACATTCCAGCATGATTGTCTTTTATAGGAATGTGGTGACTAAAGTAACATGTGCTTCTTAATGTTTGGTCACACGGAGAGGTAACAGAAAAGCCTGTCAGCCAAGAATGCAGGAGTTGTGTGAGTGCTTCATTGCATCCCGCGCTTTCAGATGCGCTTCTGCGGCTGTCTGGAACACTCTTCCGATATTAGGAAGACATGCACTTTTAAATCTAAATTGAAAACTAATTTCTTTAGAACTGCGTTTTGTGTTTGGTTTGTTGTCCTTCCCCCGCACATCTGATTAGCACGGTTGGCTACGTACGGTGCGAAAGAAGTCCAACATACATTTCAAGACTATGAATACAACCCATGGAAAATGTATATCAAGTTCATGGGTGTCATCAAAATGAGTCCAAAACCATCGAGATGTAGCATCGTGAACCATCTATTCTTGCAATGAAAATCAGCCCTGCATCATAAGAATGTACGAAATCGCTAAGTTCGTGAATTGTTATATATTAATTGTTATATACAGTGAAGGAAAAAAGAATTGGATCCCCTGCAGATTTTGTACGTTTGCCCACTGACGAAGAAATGATCAGTCTATAATTTTAATGGTACGTTTATTTGAACAGTGAGAGACAGAATAACAACAAAAAAATCCAGAAAAAACGCATGTCACAAATGTTATAAATTGATTTGCATTTTAATGAGGGAAATAAATATTTGTACCCCCTCTTAATCAGATAGATTTATGGCTCCCAGGTGTCTTTAATACAGGTAACGAGCTGAGATTAGGAGCACACTCTTAAAGGGAGTGCTCCTAATCTCAGCTTGTTACCTGTATAAAAGACACCTGTCCACAGAAGCAATCAATCAGATTCCAAACTCTCCACTATAGCCAAGACCAAAGAGCTCTCCAAGGATGTCAGGGACAAGATTGTAGACCTACACAAGGCTGGAATTGGGCTACAAGACCATTGCCAAGCAGCTTGGTGAGAAGGTGACAACAGTTGGTGCGGTTATTCGCAAATGGAAGAAAAACAAACTAACTGTCAATCTCCCTCGGCCTGGGGCTCCATGCAAGATCTCACCTCGTGGAGTTGCAATGATCATGAGAACGGTGAGGAAACAGCCCAGAACTACACGGGAGGATCTTGTCAATGATCTCAAGGCAGCTGGGACCATAGTCACCAAGAAAACAATTGGTAACACACTACGCCGTGAAGGACTGAAATCCTGCAGCGCCCGCAAGGTCCCCCTGCTCAAGAAAGCACATATACATGCCCGTATGAAGTTTGCCAATGAACATCTGAATGATTCAGAGGACAATTTCGTTAAAGTGTTGTGGTCAGATGAGACCAAAATGGAGCTCTTTGGCATCAACTCAACTCGCCGTGTTTGGAGGAGGAGGAATGCTGCCTATGACCCCAAGAACACCATCCCCACCGTCAAACATGGAGGTGGAAACATTAGGCTTTGGGGGTGTTTTTCTGCTAAGGGGACAGGACAACTTCACCGTATCAAAGGGACGATGGACGGGGCCATGTACCGTCAAATCTTGGGTGAGAACCTCCTTCCCTCAGCCAGGGCATTGAAAATGGGTCGTGGATGGGTATTCCAGCATGACAATGACCTAGGGTCATAGGCAGCATTCCTCCTCCTCCAAACACGGCGAGTTGAGTTGATGCCAAAGAGCTCCATTTTGGTCTCATCTGACCACAACACTTTCACCCAGTTGTCCTCTGAATCATTCAGATGTTCATTGGCAAACTTAAGACTGGTATGTATATGTGCTTTCTTGAGCAGGGGGACCTTGCGGGCGCTGCAGGATTTCAATCCTTCACGCGTAGTGTTACCAATTGTTTTCTTGGTGACTATGGTCCCAGCTGCCTTGAGATCATTGCCAATATCCTCCCGTGTAGTTCTGGGCTGATTCCTCACTGTTCTCATGATCATTGCAACTCCACGAGGTGAGATCTTGCATGGAGCCCCAGGCCGAGGGAGATTGACAGTTCTTTTGTGTTTCTTCCATTTGCGAATAATCGCACCAACTGTTGTCACCTTCTCACCAAGCTGCTTGGCAATTGTCTTGTAGCCCATTCCAGCCTTGTGTAGGTCTACAATCTTGTCCCTGACATCCTTGGAGAGCTCTTTGGTCTTGGCCATAGTGGAGAGTTTGGAATCTGATTGATTGATTGCTTCTGTGGACAGGTGTCTTTTATTTAGGTAACAAGCTGAGATTAGGAGCACTCCCTTTAAGAGTGTGCTCCTAATCTCAGCTCGCTACCTGTATAAAAGACACCTGGGAGCCAGAAATCTTTCTGATTGAGAGGGGGTCAAATACTTATTTCCCTCATTAAAATGCAAATCAATTTATAACATTTTTGACATGCTTTTTTCTGGATTTTGTTGTTGTTGTTGTTATTCTGTCTCTCACTGTTCAAATAAACCTAACATTAAAATTAAAGACTGATCATTTCTTTGTCAGTTGGCAAACGTACAAAATCAGCAGGGGATCAAATACTTTTTCCCTCACTCTCCGTATTTAAAAAAAATATAAAATGTATTATAAAGGTTTTTTTAATTGTTATAAATAACGCGATCAAACCCAAAAAAAAGTTGTTATGAATAATATTGGTCGCTTTGTCTTGAGTTTACACTGTACATTTTACGTTATTTTCAAACAGCATGAGCTTTACAATTAGACAATTAAATATATATTTTCAGCGATTAAAATATATTATGTATATTCTTGGTTCTTTCGGTAAAGTCATCAGGTGTGGTTTCACACCTAATGATGATTGCTTGTGTTGCAGTCGAAACGTCGTGTTAATTTTATGGTTTTATATTTTTTAAATATTTTTTTATTTTGTTTCCCTTCTACGTGACTTTACCGAAAGAACCAAGAATATGAATCCCTGCAGTCACGACAGCTTTCAATCGAAATTTATATTATGTATGTTAAAACACACGGACATGCATTGAATTGCACGTGTGAGAATTGATTACTGTATTTAAATTCTGCAAGTTTAAACATTAAATGATAAAAAGTGCAGCTCGATTGAGATATGGTATCAATTTGCCAACAAATTCCCCTCATCCATGAAAACAAAGTTAATATAAGTGCTGTAATGCTGTATTATGTTGCATGTGATTTGGTATAAACAATAGCAAATATAATTGTGAAACAATGTAAACGAGACGGTAAACAGACTAAAAAAGATTGTCATTTATTGAAATGGATTCCAATCCTAAATCATGACAAATCATGAAATCAGGTTATTAAGGGTTATACGTGTATTAAAGAAATGTTTGATTTTTAATTGTGACGCAACGCAGAGATTACATGTGGAAGCAGCAGATGGCGCAGTGTGCAATACTATTTAGCGGTGAGTCCACAGGGCAGGAAAAAGTTAGGGGCATGCCGTATCTCAAACCACAGATGTTCCCACCGAAAATTAACGTAATACAGATGCATAGGTGTATTGAGTTAAGGCATACGGTTCTGTATTGCATAAGATGGAATTCTAAATATTTTGGGATAACACGTGCGAGTAAATGTTGGTCCATTCGTGTGGATTGTTAACATGAGGAGTAACCATCTAAAAAAGGTTAAAATATTAACTTTTCATATAGGATCAAGCATGTGTGAAGTGATTGCATCACACCATTTTGGTCTTTAAACGG